TTTTTTTTGTTTGCTTTTGCATAGAAGAACTGGGGTGTAGGCCAAAGGTGCGGGGGTTAGCGGATTCACCAGAGGCAGAGTGGGGAGCAAAACAGGCAGATCTACTGAAATACACTGCTGAGGGGAGAAGAGGGGGAGACAGGAGAGGTCTGCTGCGCCATGTGGGTTAGCTTCCTGACCTGGGATCGAACTCACGCTATAGAGGTGATAGCGCTAAGATTTAGCTTCTACACTACCAGGAAGGCCCTGATTTTTTTTTTTTTTTTTTAAGATTTATTTATGCATACAAGAGCTGGGGTACAGGCCACAGGTGCCTGGGGGGTGGGTGGGTGTGTGTGTGAAAGGATTCACCAGACAGAGTGGGGAACAGAACAGGCAGACTGAAATACACTGCTGAGGGGAGCAGCGGGCGAGATAGGAGAGGTCTGCTGCGCCATGTGGGTAGCTCCCTGGCCGGCCGGGGAGCGAACTCATGCTGCAAAGGCTGTCGATTGCCTCGTAGGGATGTGCTTAACCCCTTGCGCCACCAGAAAGGCCCTGATTTTTAAGTTTCCTTTGTAATGACCCTATATGCTTAAACAGATCAGTGGAAACTTCTCACATGTAGACCTTAATGTGAATTGGTGGTTTTGACTTTTAAACCCATATTTCTGTTGTGGCATTAATAAAATAGGTTCTGGTGGTGAGATTATAGAAATACTAGGTGTTTTAAATTCATTTGTTAGATGATCCTAGGATACCCAATGTATAAAAGTATATTCTACTGGTTGAAGTTGCCTTGACACTTTGGGGGGAGGAATGCAACTAGAAGGCCCTTATAGTTAAATATATGATTGAGCTTTATTTTTTTTTTTGAAGATTTATGCATGCAAGAACTGGGGTACAGGCCAGAGGTGTGGGAGGATAGAGGATTCACCAGAGATAAGAGCGGGGAACAAAACAGGCAGACTGAATGAAATACACTGCTGAAGGGAGCGACAGGCTTGACAGGAGAGATCTGCTATGCTGTGTGTGTCACCTCCTTGGGCGGGGATCGAACTTGTGCTGCAGTGGCTGTGGATTGCTTCATAATGCTGCATCTTCACCCCCTGCGCCACGAGGGAGGCCCCTACATGATTGGGCTTTAATTAGGGTTCTTTTACACTAAGGCCAGCTGAAATTGGATTTTTTTTTAAAGTAAGTTTGGAGACTATTCTTGATTTTGATTGTTAGCACTTTGATATTTTGAATTATGAACAACTATGTCTTATTTTTCAGCTTGCAGTTTGACCCAGCTCCCCGCAGAGGCGAGCCACATGTTACTCGTCGTACCCCAGACTACTTCCTGTAATGAAATTTTAAACTTGTACAGTATTGCCATGAACCATATATTGACCTAATGGAAATGGGAAGAGCAACAGTAACTCCAAAGTGTCAGAGAATAGTTAACATTCAAAAAACTTGTTTTCACACGGACCAAAAGATGTGCCATATAAAAATACAAAGCCTCTTGTCATCAACAGCCGTGACCACTTTAGAATGAACCAGTTCATTGCATGCTGAAGCGACATTGTTGGTCAAGAAACCAGTTTCTGGCATAGCGCTATTTGTAGTTACTTTTGCTTTCTCTGAGAGACTGCAGATAATAAGATGTAAACATTAACACCTCGTGAATACAATTTAACTTCCATTTAGCTATAGCTTTACTCAGCATGACTGTAGGTAAGGATAGCAGCAAACAATCATTGGAGCTTAATGAACATTTTTAAAAATAAGTACCAAGGCCTCCCCTCTACTTGTGGGTTTTGAAATTATTTTGTTTATTTTCAGGGATACCATTTAATTTAATTGTATGATTAGTCTGCACTCAGTTTATTTCCCTTCTCAGATCTCAGCCTCATGTTGTTCATTGTTATTGTCGGAACCTGGTGAATTGTTTTGAACAGAACTGTTTTTTCCCCTCCTGTAAAACGATGTTACTGCACAAGAGCACTGCAGTGTTTTTCATAATAAACTTGTGAACTAAGACCTGAGAAAGTCAAATTTTAATTGTATCAATGGGCAAGACTGGTGCTGTTTATTTAAAAGATATATCAATTGATAAATCTAGAATTCCAGGAAACAAAAATAAAAATCAAGGTCACTACATAATTTCTCTGGTAACTCCTTGACGTTCTTCAGATGAATTTCAGGACTTATTTGAAGCCCCCATAGCACAATTTGTGAATTGCCCACTTGCTTTTCATGGGTTCTTTCTGCATATTAACTTGTCTATGAGAAAGGAAATCTGTGTGCTACTTAAGTAAAACCTGACTGTAAACAATATAACTTGAGATTTAAGGTTTTTGTTTTAATAAAAAAAAAAGCATGTTTTCACATAGAGCTTAAACAAACTAAATGTCTGAGTTGTGTAGTTTCTGATTATGAATATATTGCTATGTATAAATGTAACATGGACTCAGATGATTGACAGATTGGTAAGTTCGTGCCGTATTTATCCTTTACTTGTCATGTGATCTTAGAGTTAAGTTTGTCTCAGAAAAGAAAGCTGTTACAGCATGAACCTGTATAGAGCTGAAGTGATACTAGTCAAACCAAATAGAAGACTTGCTGGCTCATGATTTAGTGTTAAGGTACTTTTCACCCAGACTCAAAAATGACATTTGAAATGAAGTAGCAGTACTGAACCAGTTCATATGTTTTTCCCCTGCATCCTTTGAATAAGATTAGGAAGTCAAAACAGTTCTTCTGTGGAAACTAATATTTAATCATATTAAACAGGGTAAACGTCAAGACATTTAATCATACTTGTATGAGTGTAGTAATAAAGTTTCTTTGCTTTGTGCTGTGTTGAATTTGGGACAGATGAAAATTTTTCACATTTCTCTTTTCTAAGGTGTTCAAGGAAACTACATATGTAACACACCTTGTATAATATGATCCATTTCTTTTCTGATCTAATTTATAGTATTTTTGACGGCTTGAGTTGTTGATCGTTCAAAGCAAAAAACCCTTAATTTTTCTTCTATCCATTTTATTTATTGTATGTGTTCACAAGAAATACTTTTTTTGCTTTGTGACTTTATGCCCTTTAAAACTAAACACGTAGTCTATCAATATGCGGTAATTTTAATTCAATGTCCAAATGATCTAAGATGCCAAGGAGCTGTTTTTCAGGTCCTGTCATAAAGAATTGAGTACAGGAATGCATGTTTTGTAATTGAGATGTAGTACTGTCATCCAGGTACAAACTCTGTAAATCTACTGGTGAGCAGAAAAGGACCTGTGGCCAAAATTACTTGGGTCTGGAATAATTGCCAGGGTTTAAATTAATTTTCTAGTTGTAGAGAATGGCTGGATTTCGGCCAGCTAAACTATTAGGTTGTTGGAAAAGTCATGACGTATTTTCGTTCAAAAAACAAACAACAAATGACTTCCGACACCCCAATAGAAAGTGTTAATAACGTACCTGGCTATGAAGTGGGTAAAGAAAACGAGTTGTTAAATACAGTGAATTCCTTTAAAATACACCATTGTTGATTTCTCAAGTAGTAATTTCAAAGAGACATCGGAATAAAAAAATAAATGTTCAGTAATAAACTCTTTAGAAGTTTCTTTAAAAGGGTCAAAAACTTTGTAAACTTAAAATACATGTTATGAGTATTCTATGTTGAAGACTTACAGGAGTTTGCTTTGGAACTTTGAAAGGGTAAGATGGTTTGTTGGTTTAACTATCCTAAACAAACAGCTGTCTATTTTTCTTTTCTTGGTGTAGTAGGTATGTTTTAAATGGAAGTATAGCATGTCAGTATTGGATTGTTCAGAAAAACTTAGCTTTAGCTCATAGGAAAATGGTTATTTCCGTGGTTCTCAACCTTGATGTCCTCAGAGATTCTTACTTAGCTTATTTGCAGGAGACCCAGACAGGTATTTTTGTTGCCAGGTGATTGTAATTTACAGCTAGCTGTTAACCTCAGCTTGGTATTGCAACTACAAATTGAAGAAATTTGAGTTTTTCCGGTAGGTGATTGGTGGTGGTGGGTTTTGATAAATCATTAAAGTGATTCTTGGTTTACCTGTCCTTTGTAAGAAATTCCTTACTTTGCGTGGTGATGTACACCTAGAAGTTAACCAAAAGTTTAGAAACAGGTTGGGTTGTTTTGAGATTTTTATTATGAGCTAAAATTTTCATTAGAATCTCAATCTTCTCTCACATCTTCTTTGATACATTTCAACTTTTTTTTTTTTTAAGGGCTTTTCCTCTTCCCATTTGTGCAGTTATTCTATTGAATAACTTCATGAAATCTATATATATATATTTTTTGGTCATCCCTGATGGCCTCTGTTTAAGTTATAGTTTGTCTTGTTTTAGGATTATAAGTGCATTTTATTTCTGCTTTTTATCATCTGTATTTATTGCACAGATACTTTGTTGTGGCCAAAGAGGTCAGTACTGACTTGTAGTCGGTACTATCCTTTAAATAATCTCTGTTTGTCAACTGATAGCCAAATTTGCAGCAAGGCAATGTGGATTATAAGTATTTCTCATCTACAGATTTGCTTGTAAGTTGAACATACAAAGGTCAATGATAACAGGGAGTAGGTAGACTAGATGACAAACCCCCCAGATTTGTGTGTCTTGTCACACTTGGACCAGAATTTCCTCCCGGAGGTGAGAGGGGAAACAATTACACTCAGTGATTAAATGCTGGGGAAAGGTCTTTTTTTTTTTTTTTTTTTTTTAAAGATTTACTTATTTATATAAGAATGGGGGTACAGATTCGTGGGAGGGTGAGAGGATTCACCAGAGACAGAGCAGGGAACAACAGGCAGACTGCCAAAATACACTGCTGAGGGGAGCAGCGGGAGCTACAGGAGAGGTCTGTCGTGCCATGTGGGACCCTCGCCGGCCAGCGGGGATCGAACCGCTGCTGCAGGGGCTGCAGACAGCTTCACAGCGCTGCGTGAAGCCTGGGCCACCAAGGGAGGCCCAGGCCTTTTTTTAAACAGCAAAAATTCTCACAGTTGCAGTTTAATTGTAAGTAATTTTTATCTGCAACAGGTTTGGAATAGGAGCTGAGCTGTTTAACTTTCTCTGCCTAAAATGTTTCTAATACAACAAATCACTTCATGTGGCTCACTTTGCTACTTAGAGCCCTCAGGAATTTAGCTAGTCTCAGCCATCTAGAGTACATCACTGGGAAAGTTCATTTAGGTTTTAATGATACTACTACCTGTGGTGTTCCAAGAGATAACTGAGCAGACCTTTCTAAGGACAATATTAGGTTGTAGCCGCCAGAAAGTTCAGTCTCCACTGTTGGAAGTCAAAGACTAGAATTGGGGAGACAGAAAAGCAAGTTGAGTGTTTGTTCTATAGGCACTGGAAAGCCAAAGTAAAAGTCTAATGAAAGCTCCTAGAAATGTCAAGCGTTGCATGCCTCTCTCTCAAGATAGCTTCTGAACATAAGGATACTTGGTAGTCTAGTCTGGTTTAGACTTTTCCAGTAGTTTCAGAATTACTTCATTGTAGTATTGGTACCTAGCTGGCAGGGGCAAGTAGTTAAAGTTTCGTAAGCCTGGTCAAGGGTGGACCGCTTGACTTACTAAAATTATTCGGTATATCCAAGCATGTCTCAGGAAAAAGCTAGGTTACAAAGATGTGTGGAATATGCCCTTGCTGGTATGACCTGCTTTCCTTTTAAGGTAAATCCTTTCCCAACAGCAGTAAGGGTTTGGAGGACAGCAGACAGGAGAAGTAGTTACATAATGCATTTGGTCTTGAGCATTCTTGGTTTCCTAGAACCATATGTAAAGAAGGGTGATTAATCTGTATCTTGATTTTAAAAATACCATTTTAAAAACAATCATTTTAATGATCTGTGACTATAAGTAGACCATGAAGAAAGCCCCAACTCACTACTCCTTATAGCCACACTAGAACTTAAGAGTAAAGGGCTGGTGGGGCCTCCCTGGTGTCACAGGGGTTAAAGACATCACTATCAAGCTATTGCCAGCCACTGCAGCATGAGTTCCTTCCCGGCTGGCCAGGGAGCTACCCATGTGGCACAGCAGACCTCCTGTCTTGCCCACTGCACCCCTCAGCAGTGTATTTCAGTCAATCCACCTGTTCCCCACGCTGTCTCTGGTGAATCCTCTCAACCCCAACAACTCAGGCTTACACCCCAGTTCTTGTATGAATAAATAAATACAAATAATGCCACCCTCCACCCTCACAGATGCATAGCCTTCTGCATTTTTTTTAAAAAGATTTATGCACTCAAGAGCAGTGCCTGCACATAGCTTCATAGCGCTGAGAGTTAACCCCCTGCACCACCAGGGAGCCTGCCTTCTGCACTTTTAACATCCTCTACCTAGACTACATTTGTTAAAATTGATGAACCTGTAATGACAAGTTACCCTGAGTCCAAGGTTTACATTAAGGGTTCACTTTTGCTGGTGTACATTTTATGGGTTGGACGTGTATAATGATGTAGCCAACAGCCCTAACAATCCCCCGTACTCTGCATATTTACATACCAGTCTTATATCTAGGTGAAATAATTCCTCCTTTACCCTCCGAAAGCCCAGTTGATTTCTGGAATATTGTAGCTGAGGAATGGCATTGGATTTTAGACTAATAAACTGATATTTTTTAAATTGTTGAAGACCAGTCTGTCTACTTCAACAAAGATAGTGAATCTCCAGCTAGTCCTTCACCACTTAGCCCATCTTCACACCTTTCTGAAGACCTTATGTGGTCATCTTGAGAAGAATGAAAAGCTAAGAGCAAATTGGTTTCTTGTCTCCTGGTGCCCAGCTAACACATTCTAGTAGGGAGGCTTAATTCCACAAACATTGCCCATATCTGATCCATATGGTTATTAGTATTTTTAAAAAAAAAATCTTTTCTACTTTTATTATTGAATACATATTGGTAGTAATGTCAAGCAATAGATAAGATATACAAAATAAGCTTGCCCCCCCTCCCCTTCCCAGCCTTCTTTGAGGTTACTACAATTAATGTTTTGTGGATATCTTCAGTCATGAAGGTATTTTGGGTGAAATGTTTAACATGTTTTGGGTGGAATGCTTAACATACCTCATGATCATGTAAATTAACTTGCCTCACTGGGAGCAACTTGGGTTAATTTTGGGTTTTTTTTTTTTTAAAGATTTATTTATGCATACAAGAGCTGGGGTACAGGCCAGAGATTGGGGTGGGGGGCGTGAGAGGATTCACCAGAGACAGTGGAGAACAGGAACAGGCAGACTGAAACACTGCTGAGGAGAGCAGCAGGCGAGACAGGAGAGGTCTGCTGCGCCATATGGGTTGCTCTGGCTGGCTAGGGATTGAACTCGTGCTGCAGAGGCTGTGGACCGCTTCATAGTGCAGTGCTTAACCCCTTGTGCCACCAGGGAGGCCCAACTTGGGTTAATTTTGATTGTACCTGTACAGTGGTGAGTTAATGGAAGTATGTTGGGCCCCTGCTAAATGCTAAACAAAAGACAAAATGAAGTTAACTTACCGGGTTATAAGTGTGTGGTCTTAATGGGGCACAGCTTCGATTGTTACAGTTTACCTAGAACTTAAGGGTTTCCAAGGAAGCAGAGCTTTCAGTTTTCAAATCAGGATGGTTGTCCACCCCAATACGGGATCCTGTACCTACACAACGTAAGCACAGAAACCTTACCCAGGCTTATCAACTTGGCAGAATCCAGGCTCTGCTTTGACTGTCTGGATTCCTGGTGGGGACATGGGTGAGGAGGTACCCAGATGAATTGACTCAGGTTTGTGTCCTAAGTCCATCTGATACTTGATCTGGTATCTTGAGTCAGCAGAAAACCAGCCTTTGCATTTAAAAGCCTATCACTTTGGACCTGCCAACTTACAACCTTCCAAGCCTTATGCTTTATTTATGTTCTTTATTATGAGAGACTTTCAAGACTTACCAAGTCCTAAGAGTTAACATTTGTCTAAGGTGGGGTCGTCAGAGGTAGGAATAAATTGACAAGAAGAATAGAAAAAGGGAAAGCAAGTAGACATGGGGTGGGGTATGTGGTTCTAGCAAGACTACATAGTTCGGCCCTCCCCCTGGTGCAGTGGGTTGAGCGCACACCTGCAGTGCGGGTCCGATTCCCAGCCAGCCAGGGAGATACCCAAATGGTGTGGCAGACCTGTCTTGCCCGCTGCTCCCCTCAGCAGTTCTTTTGGTCCATCCGCCTGTTCTGCTCCCCGCTCTGTCTTTGGTGATCCTCTCATCCCCGGCAACTCTGGCCTATACCTCAGCTCTGGTATAAATAAATGTCTTTTTTTTTTTTTTTTTTAAGTGCATAGTTCTCAGCCAGAGTGCTGTCATCTGGGGGCACATAGCAAATAAAGTGGAGCAAGAAGTCTTTGCTATGGTGTTTGAGTAATATTTGTGGGATGAGTGAGCCAGCCCTCGGCATCGGCTGAGCTGAGTGGTTTGGCAGTGTGTATACTAGCTGGTTCAGATAGTGTGCGAGTCATCGGACAAACACCTTGGTAGCCATCGTATATTGTGTGTGAAGGAAGCAGAAAGGTAAAGTGAGCCCCTAATTCAGATGTCCTGGGTAACTACAGTTTCGAAGTTTCTTCACTATCCCCTTCACTATGTTGGCCAGGAGACTGAAAAGATAACAGCCTTTTGTAGGGCAAACAGAAGGAAAAGGATTTAAAACTCCACGGAACAACTTACGGAGCACCTGTTGTATGCCAAGTGTCATTAGCTGCTGGGAATAAATACAGTGATGCATAAGACCAAATCTGTGCTTGTGGAGCTTACGTTCCTGAGAGACAAAAAGTCAAAAAGGAATAATGTACTATGAAGAAAAATAAAAGTTGGGTAGAAGGCATAGGGTAAAAAGAAACGTACCCTTTTTAGCCAGAGCCTGTACATGCTATTATGCAGGTTGTTCACTGTATAATTTATCAACTTTGTGAATTAGGACAACTTTTTGTCTAATGGTTATATAATAAATTTTGATGTAGCTTTTAATTTTAAAAATCTAGATAAATTTTAACTGAATTTAATAATATACTGATTGGGCTACCAATAAGACCGGTGGTTATTGAGGAGGTGACTGAGCTGAGACCTAAAGGATGAAAAGGAGCTATTCCTTCTTGCCAGTCTGTTAAACATTGTTTATCACATTTTTTTCAATTTCCATTTTTTTTTTTTTTAAGATTTATTTCCATACACAAGAACTGGGGACAGGCCAGAGGTGTGCGGGAAGGTGAGAGGATTCACCAGAGACAGAATGGGGAGCAGAATAGGCAGACTGACTGAAATACCCTGCTGAGGGGAGCAGCGGACGAGACAGGAGAGGTCTGCTGAGCCATGTGGGTATCTCCCTGGTGGGCTGGGGATTGAACGCGTGCTGCAGAGGCTGCAGACAGCTTCATAGTGTTGTGCTTAATGCCCTGCGCCACAAGGGAAGCCCCTCAATTTCCATTTCTGACACTTTTTTTAAAGGTTTATTATTTATATTTGTGCATATAAGAACTGGGGTGTAGGCCAGAGGGGTATGGGGTGGTGGTGAGAGGATTCACCAGAGGCAGAGTTGGGAGCAGAACAGACAGATTCACTGAAATACACTGCTGAGGGGAATAGCAGGCAAGACAGGAGAGGTCTGCTGTGCCATGTGGGTCCACTCCCTGGCCTGGGATCAAACTCATGCTGCAGTGGCTGGCAACAGCTTGATTAGCACTGAGACTTTAACCCCTGAACCACCAGGCAGGTCCTCTGACATTTAGTTTATTTATTTATTTATTTATTTATTTTTTAATAGAGGCATGTTTTATCTATTTGTTTGTTTGTTTGTTTTGTTTATATATGCACTGGGTACAGTCAGAAGCGCGGGAGGGTGAGAGAATTCACCAGAGCCAGAGCGGGGAGCAGAGCAGGCAGAAGGACCGAAGTACACTGCTGAGGGGAGCAGCGGGCGGCAGGAGAGGTCTGCGCGCCATGTGGGACCCTCCTCCAGTGGCCGGGGATCAACCGGGGATCGAACCCGCGCCGCAGAGGCTGCGGGCAGCTTCGCAACCCAGCGCTCAACCGCTGCGCCACCGGGGAGGCCCCTGACATTTAGTTTAAAAGAGAAAAACAACAGCTTGTAGAGCAGCACTGACCATGACCTGACAACTGGGAGCTGGAGGTCAGGGAAGCTGCTGGACCTGTTGTAGTCTGGGCTAGAATTTTCCTTTATTTATTTATTTTTTTCCTCTTACCAGTTTAATGACACAAAGCTGAAAAATACAGGAAATCTGGAATATAATCTGAACTATTAAACAGTTTTATTTGACTAAGGTATTGCGGGGGAGAATTGGGGTGTAGGCTGGAGGCACAGGAACGGGGGTGAAAGAATAATGAAAGACAGAATGGAGAACAGAAAAGCCGGATTTATTGAAATACACTTCTAAGAGCAGCAGTGGGTGAGACTGGAGAGGTCTGCTACCTGGGCTGGAATTTTCTGACCAGAGCGTAATGCCTTCACTGGAGCAGCGGGACATGACTAGAGAATTCAAGTGCTCATAGGGACTCATACTCATGCCGAGCAACCACAGTTACTACCTGACAACCCTTCTGCTTTCTGAGTTTCTTAGGCTTCAAAAAGGAGTGATTCAAAAAGGAAAAAAATACAGATTGACAAGGTCTCATCTCAAATGGCCAATCCCTCCCGCCCAAAACTGGAACTGATGACCCTGCCTATTAATACCTCAGAATACAATCAGACAACATAAGATTTCTTCCTACCTGCCACCACCTCCAGCCTTTCTGCAACTTAACCTAAACCTCAACCACCTCAATTCAATTATTTCCAGGAGCAAACACGACTAGTATCTTCAACCACAAAACCAAACTTTGACCTGACAACCCCCCTGACAACCCCCCTCTTAAGTGTGTGCCCCCTTTGTAGGCTCCTCATTAGCAAAACTTGAAAGAACTGTTAGCTACTCTGTTCTCATATTATACTCTCTTCTCAGTACATAATTCCACGGAAATAATTGGATTTATCAAGGTTATTTTCACATTGCCAAGTATAATAGTTTTCTGATTTTATTAAATTGCAGTTTTTAGCATATGGAGCAACTGACCAAAATAATTTCCTGGAAATAATTTCTTCCCTTGTTTGCCATTGCACTAGATTTGCTTGTTTTCCTTCTTCCCTTTTGACTAGTACCTCCCAAGTTTCTTGGCTAACTTTCCTGTCCTCTAAATATCACAGTGAACAACGCTTAGTATCAAATCATTTTTTCTGTTCTCCTGTGATTTCATCTAGTCTCCTGTGTATGCTGAAGAGTCACAAATTTACATCCTTTAGCCCAGCTTCTCCCCTCAGCTCCCCTATATCCAGCTGCCCATGTGCAACACACATCTCAAACTGAATTTCTGGCCTCCCACCCTAACTCTTGGTGTGCTTTTCTCTCAATAAATAGCACCACTCAGGCACTTACCCTGCACACCTCTGTTTCTTGTACATGGAACGCATGAGTTATACATGGAGCCCATGAGTTATATACCTTCAAATTCTTCCTCCTCATCCCCACTGCCCTGGTCCTTGTTCAAGTCTCCTAAAAGATTTTACTATTTCCCTTCCTCCCCCTACTACAATCCAACCTCCACACCATCGCAAGTGAGCTTTCTGAATCAGATCATGCCATTGCCGCTTACCCTCCATTCCCGGAGATTGCTCAGAGCAAAGTCAATCTACAAACCTCCTCATGATCTGGTTCTCACCTGCCTATCTTCAGCTCCTCACTTTTCCCCTCAGTCATTAAGCTATGATGCTGCCTTGCTCTTCCTAGTACATACCAAGTTCGTTCTTGAGTCAGCACACGCTCTACTTCACTTCCCAGCTCCTTTCCATGGCTGGCGCTTTCTTCAGCGGGTTTCTGTTTAAATACAGTGCTGTTCCTCCCTCCTTCCACTTCACTTTCTAGGCCAACTCTTCTATTTTCTTCATACTATTTACCAACCTAACAAACTTTTATTTGTGCTTATGACATCTAACCCACTAAAACACAAGCTCTCTGAGGGCAGACGTCCTCTTTTTGTCTTGTTTACCACTGCCTACACCATGGAGAGTGAAGAGGGTGCTAGGGATTCTTTGACTGATCGGCGCAGTCCACACTGGGAGATTTCCAGGCCAATCAGTGGGTTATTGACCCGACCTGGACTCAGAGTCTCCTGGGGAAAACCTTGGCACTCTGGGGCCCCTTGGCAGACAGTCCTTCCTGCGTGGGTATTCCTCAGGGTTGTGACACATCCCCATGTCACACTTACCTTCACCTCACTGATTCTCCCGGAGTCAGCCTCCTGGAATGCTTAGCATCCTAGGGCCTGGCCCCAAGCCCCATGGGCAGTCGCTTTGGTGGCTGAACTGCAGCTCTTTCAGAGAGATTGCCCTCTCCAGTGGTCTTTGCCACAGTGCACTCGTTCCAGAGGCCATATCCTTTGGGTCCCTACATGAGCAGATGGGTGAAGGGAACAACGACAGAGGGTGGGTTATGCCTGTTCATGGTTTATCATCTGCAAACGAGCCCTCAATGCACTACATTGCCCTGCTCTTGGTGTAGCCTACACAGCCCTTCTGCCAGGACTTGTGTGTGTGAACTCAATTTCACAGATGGACACAGGGATGGAGGCTACTTCCAGGATCACACTGTGAGTGTGTGATCAAGCTTCACTGAGCTCCAGCCTCTGATGATCACACCAGGGCTCTTGATAGGACTCTTCTGGAAAGGTGAGAGGGCAGCTTCTTTTTTTTAAGATTTATTTTTATTTATTTCTGCATACAAGAACTAGGGTGTAGGCCAGAGGTGTAGGGGGTGAAAGGATTTACTAGAGACAGAATGGGGAGCAGAACAGGTGGATTTACTGAAATACACTGCTGAGGGGAGCAGCAGGTGAGACAGAAGAGGTCTGCTGTGCCATGTGGGTCACCTCCCTGTTCTGGGATCAGACTATTGCCACAGTGGCTGCTGATAGCTTGATAGCCCTGAGAGAGAGAGAGAGAGACAGAGACCGAAACAGAGACAGAGAGAGAGGCTTCTTACAGAAGGTGCAGGATGGAGAGGGCGAGCCTGGTAGGAGGCAGGTGCTTTGAAGACGCTCTCTATGTACAGCCATCTAGCTCTCTGGCACCATCTGCTGACCAGAACCTGGCCCTGCCTTTGCGGCACCCAGCAGACCACTTTGAGCCCACAGGGGCCACCCATGTATCCTGACAGATAGGTGGAACATACACTCGTGGAGAGGGTGGAACAGAGGGTAGACCTTGTTCTTCTGGGAAGTTCTGACTCGTGTGGTGAGCCAGCTAGACCTAGGTTCAAATTCCACCTCCCCAATTCCCAGCCGTGTGGCCTAAGGCAGGTTACTTAACTCATCTCAGCCTTTGGGAGAGAAACACTTTGGCTTGACAAGATCTTCCAATCCAAGGGCCTCCTTGGTGGCGCAGGGGTTAAGATGCAGCACTGTGAAGCTTTCTGCAGCCACTGCAACACAAGTTCAATCCCTGGCCAGGGAGGTTACCCACAAGGCTCAGCAGACCTTTCCTGTCTTGCCCCTCAGCAGTGTATTTCAGTCAATCCGCCTGTTCTGTTCCCCACTCTGTCTCTGGTGAATCCTCTTACCCCCCCCCACACCTCTGGCCTGCACCCCAATTCTTGTATGCATAAATAAATAAATCTTTAAAAAAAATCTTCCAATCCAGGCTGGGCCCACAGTTTTCTGCTGGTGCTATGGATATGGGTCAGGAGATTTAGGTGTGGCTGCCACTTCTGGATAGATCTTCCAGAGCGGCTTCCAGAGTGTCCATAGTCCATCCGGGGAAGCACTGCACTGGCTGACATAGAGGCAATAGAGGTGACAAGTGGCTCTTTCTGAAGCTTTGTTCAAGGCATTCATTGAACTCTTAGTCCGGGGCACACAAATCCTCCCTGGGCACAGGGGCCTTGCAACACCCTCCCCCACCACACACACTTCTTCCATTACTCTTCTAGCCTTACTTGTGAAGGGTTGGGCTGCCATGTGAAGGAGAAGCTATAGGGGCTCAAAGTTCCTTCAGAAATTGACACCGGTGCACACAATAACATATACTACTGCATCTTCACACACCCTTTTTCAAAAATTGAGTTATGACGTACATGCAGTACACAAGTGTGATTATAACATAATAAAGTTTTATTATACTATACATATATATATACACTCATGAAACTACCACCTGGATGAAGGTAGAGCATTTCTGCTATCCTGGAAGTTTCCCTCATCAATGCTCTCCCAAAAGTAACTAATATACCATTTTCTCTAACCTAGATTAGTTTTTGCTGCTTCTTCGTCTTTATAAGTACACATATCTAGCTGCTTTAGCTCAATATAATGTCTGTGAGATTCATTCATGAGATTTTTTTATATTAATAGTATTTTTCATTGCTGTTTAGTATTCCACTGTCTGAATATACTACAGTTTATCCTTTCATTTTCAGTTGATTTGCTATTTATTCCTTTCTTCTTTTATGAATAAAGTTGTGAAAAATTTTAACTATACCTTCTGGTGGACATAATACTTACTTCTGTTGGGTATTTGTCCAGAATTGGGAATGCTGACCCATTGAGTATTTATATGTTTAGCTTTAAGAAATACTGCAAAATTTCTGTAGTGTACCAGAAACATGTGAGAGTTCAAATTGTTTCACATCTTTCTTATTTTTTTAAGTGTGTATTGTCATTCTTTAAAGTTTAGCCATTCTGGTGACTAAAATAATTATCATGAAAATCCTGTAAGTGCTGTTATAAGTTCCATTCTAAAGATGAGGAGACTGAGGCTGGAAAGAGAAAGCAACATATCCCATCCAGATCACAAGTGAGTAGCAAGTGGGAAGCAGCAGGTCTGCATTATTCCTGCGTACCTGTGGCCTTGTAAAACTTTTAGGTCAGGAAACTTGGTGTGCCAAAATAACTCTCTTATTTTTTAAATTTCTTTCTCTTTTTTTTGTATATTGATTTTATTGGTGACAAAAGAGCTTAAAACAAATTGACCAAAAATCAAGTTATAGGAGAACTGGGGTGTGGGCCATTTTTTTCATAGGAGAACTGGGGTGTGGGCCATTTTTTTTTTTTTCATAGGAGAACTGGGATGTGGGCCAGAAGTGTGGGGGTGAGATTCACCAAAGTGGGACAGAACAGGTCGATTGACTGAAATACACTGCTGAGGGGAGCAGTGAATGAAACATGAGAGTCTGCTGCAACATGTGGGTCACCTCTCTGGCCGGTGATTGAACTTGTGCTGTCGTGGTGGTAGTGCTAAGCCATAACTCCTAAGTCACCAGGGAGGCCCCCTGCCATTTTTTTTAAATTACTTTCTACAGTATCTATACCCACTTGCTAGCAGAAATATAACCTAGTCAGTTCTTGGTTGAATTTAGTCAAGTGAGTGTATGATCACTCAGGCATTTAAGGTACTCTCAGTCAAGTTGAAGGTTTTGTCCCTCTTCTATCCAAGGTCACAGCTGCATTTTGCAGAGGTTATGTGGTCATGGCATGGAGTGGGAGGTGAAAGAATGGAAGTTGTCATGTCCTCAGTCATCATTCACTATCCTCTACTGCTCAGGAAGGCAGGCATCCTCACCTCTGCCAGTTGTGAACTGTCACTCTTGGTTTCTGCTGTGCCCACAGATGTCTGCATTTGTGCCATGGTCTTTGGCTTAGACTACTAAGGTTAATCTGCTTTAATGGTCCTTTATTCCATGCTAGAAGCTGTTTCCTGGACTTCTGTATCCTTTCTGAGCAACTTCCATGCTGATTTAGGGCGTCAGAACATAGTCTGATGTTCCTTGGGATCCTTACACATTAGGCACCAGACTGATATGCTTCCTGGCCCACCTGCCCAGGCACACCAGCTACTATTTCTACTTCTCCGCTGCCATACTTTCTCATCTTAGAAGACTTTGGACCTTACTCACACACCAAGGCAGATTCTCTACACCCTCACAGCCCCTAAATCTTTCTGGGGGACCTAAACTCTTGGGAGGTAGAAGTGGGAGATGCACCCAATAGCTAACTGCAATGCTCGCTTCTCTGTTTTCCCACCCCCAGCCTTTTGGGAAACCACCTCTAGCATCATCACACCTTCTTCTTTCCAACAGTGCCGTTGCCGGTATAAAATTTAATATTTTAGTGTTTCAACCTCGAGGGCTTTCTGTGCTAAAAACAAACCAAACCAAACCAAACCAACCAACCAAACAAAAAAAAAACCTTGCTTTAGAAGCCTGGGGTTTCAAAAGTCTAATTTGCAAATCAAGATTTAAGAATTTGACTTTTTTTGTCTGCATTTGATACTCTTCTCTGGATCAACAATTTGGTCTCATTTTAGGTGGAAGGCCTGGCAGTAAGGAAGAAAGTGGGGCTAAGCAGAGGAAAGTGAGGCTGAGAAACTTACCTAGGATCACATAACGGAGTAGCTGTGCTTACCATCCCATTAGAGGAGCAAGACTGAGAAAGCTGACACAGTGGAGTGCAATTATGAGCACAGGGGCTGGGTTACTTCCTAGTTTACGTGCTGGAACCACATCTAGAGTCCAGAGCCTGGGTAGGAACCTGAGAAAAGGGAGTGTAAACTGAATTCTGGGCAGTAAAATCTTTTTTTTTTTTTTAAAGATTTATTTGTTATTTTAAAAAAATCTTTTGTTTTTTATTATTTATACAAGAGCTGGGGTACAGGTCAGAAGCACAGGAGGGTGAGAGGGCTCACCAGAGATAGAGTGGGGAGCAGAACAGGCAGACGGACAGAAAGCACTGGTGAGGGGAGTAGCGGGGCAACAGGAGAGGTCTGCTGCGCCATATGGGAATCGCCCTGGCTGGCTGGGAATCGAACTCGCGCTGCAGAGGCTGCCGACAACTTCGCTGCGCTGCACTCAACCTGCTGTGCCACCGGAGAGGCCTAAAATTTATTTATTTATGCATACAAGAACCGCGGTACAGGCCAGCGGTGTCGGGGCTGAGAGGATTCATCAGAGACAGAGTGGAGAACGGAACAGGCAGATCCACTGAAACACACTGTTGAGGGGAGCAGCTGGCAAGACAGGAGAGGTCTGCTGCGCTATGTAGGGAGCTCTCTGGCCAGCCAGATCAAACTTGTGCTGCAGAGGCTGCAGGTAGCTTCATAGTGCTGTGCTTAACCCATTTCACCACCAGGGAGGCCCCCAAAATCCATTTTAGATTCTGGTCCTCATAGGAATCTTCCTGTGAACACTTTACATAGTAAAACTCTGTAACAGGAAATCATCTCTGAGACTGAATTCTCCATAAAAGTCAGATTTTCCCACCTGAACTGCTTGAATCCAAAGACTGGGGTAGAATATTGGGAACATCGGTAATCAGAAAATGTTCCTGGCAAAAAAAAAAAAAAAAGAAAAAGAAAAGAAAATGTTCCTGGGCCTCCCTGGTGGTGCAAGGGGTTAAGCACAGCACTGTGAAGCAATCCCCAGCCGGCCAGGGAGCTAACCACATGGCGCAGTAGACCTCTCCTGGCTCGCCCGCTGTTCCCCTTAGCTGTGTATTTCATTCATTCTGCCTGTTCTGCTCCCCACTTTGTCTCTGGTGAATCCTCTCACCACCACCGTCTCCCCTGGCCCCGCACCACTGACCTGTACCCCAGTTCTTGTATGCATAAATAAGTAAATCTTTTAAAAAAAGAAAATTCCCTTCTCTTTGGTTTTATTTCCTTCCCCTATTGAACACAGAGTTTTGATTACATGATGAAGAGTGACTGAAGAAAGGACAAGAAGTCAGCATTTTCAGGGCCAGCACTGGAAACAGAAAACCCCCTGCCCTCACACTACACCACAGGATCCCTGAAGGGGAGGGAGGAGAACTGTCCCTTCTGACCTGGGATGGTGATGATGGATAAAACAAATGGGAATGAGTCATCCCCAGCCTGTCCCTCAAAACCCTGAAACATCCTTATTCTTCCGGGATGGGGGGGTGGTTTGAAAGAAGGTAGGTTTGTTCAGAATTTACAGAGCTAAATGACTCACCTTTGACAGTCACTCCTCAGCAGTGCTTCATTACTGAACCCCTATTACAGAGGTTCTCAATTTACCCTACATTTAAGAATCCCCTAGAAAATGTGTTTAAAAGGCAGAAAAACCTATCCCAGGATGTCTGATTCATTAGTTGGAAAGTGGATCCAGGAATTTGCAATTTTCTTGGCACCAATTTTTTTTGAAGCAAAATTTTTTGAATACATAATACATTCATATGGATCAAAACCCAAAACGTAAAAAAGGGTATAAAGCGAAAATCACCCCCAACCTCTGGTCCCCAACCATCAAGTTTCTCTCCTGAGGCATGAATTTTATTGTGCATCTTTCTCAATATAATCTATGCATTTAACAGTACATATAAGTGAAGTCTGCATTTTAAAAACAAGTATCTTTTGGTGGGTCCCCATATATGTTAGAAAAACTCATACCTACATAATGCCAGGCACTGTATTAGGGAATCTCAAGCTAGATGTGTAATTTGGCACAGTTCAGAGACTATAGGTGCCACCGTCTATGCCATGGGCAGGGGAGCAAAGGCGCTCAAATGGAACTTACCTAGGAGAATTGAAGCTTCAGTTGCTCAGGGCAGGTCTGTTTTGTGGAAAGTATGAGAGTTGTGGGTCCTTTCATCTCCGTGTCATCAACTGTGGCACCAAACAGACACTGGATACTACAGCTTGTAGACAAAGACTTGGTAACCCAAGGAGCTACTTGGCCTCCCTGCCCAGTGCCATCCCATAAAACTTGGACGCCTCTGATTTCTTTAGGGGCCCTGTGTGGAAGTGTCTTTTGTCTCCTGGCGTCAGGAATAGCATCACGTGCCTTTTGGTTAGATGAGCCCGGCACCTTATCTCCTAGGGAGGGGTAGCAATCTTCCCTAAGCAGAGCAGGGCAGAGCTCGGCAGCTGCAAAGTCCCTGAGGGGGGCGGGGTGTTCATATTGGCCCCTTTCTTTTAGAGTTGAGTCCATGCTATGGACCCCATCACAGCCTTCGGGGAGTTTAGTCCAGGCTGGACCCTGACACACACACACACACACACTGACACACACACACTGACACACACACACACACACACTCTCTCTCTCTCTCCCCTTTTCTTGATGCGTGTTTGCTGAATTAACGGATCCGCTGCCTCCTCTTTAGCCTTGGGGTTTCCCAACAACAGTGTTTATTTCGGGCTTGGAAGCCTCTTCAGAAGTCAATAGTGGGAAAAAGTGTAACGTTCAAATCTTTGCTCTGCGACTGAACGCCCTGAAACTAAACCTGTTCCTGCATTTACAAAGGAGAAAAAAGGCAACACTATTTCACCTCATGGGTGCCGTGGAGGTGAGCTGATTCACATCAGGTTCACTGGAGGACACTCAGGCCCAGAGCAGAGTCTCTGGGCGGCGACGGCCACGCCCATCTGCCATTCTTTCTCTGAGCCCCAGTTTTCTCGTCCTGAAGGGGGAGCCGCAGCCCCTCCCACCCCCGCTCGCTCCCCCGCCCCCACCCTCCCCCAGTTAGTTGTTTCTAGGTTTTTCAGCACTGGGGGCTTTATTTTGGCCTAGGACAGCTCCTGCCTGAAGGACCCTCGCAGGGCGCGGAGCACCCATCCAGCGCCCTGTGCCCACTTTGAGGGGAGCAAGCGGCACTTTCGAGGGGACTAAGAAACCGCGCCCTGCCCCGTAGCGCCCGGCACCGCCTCACCCGACCTGGCCCCGCCGGGGCCCCGGACTCGCCTTGTGTCCTCCGCCTCCTGTCAGGCGATCTCCGCGGCCAGCCCCGCTGGGGTCTGTGACGCCACGGGCCCCGGGGTCCTCGACGCCTGCGCCCGTTCTTATAAAAGCCGCCGCCGCGCCGAGCCGCTGTAGTGGCCTTGTTGTTCGGCTCTCTGTCCCGTGCCGACGCCGCCCCGCTCTCGTCAGCCCCTGGCCCTCCGTCTCCTTGAGACCGAGCACCGTGAGTAGCCGCCCGCCGAGCTGGAAGGACCGGCGGGGTAGTGGTTTGTGGGTTAGGTGGCCGCTGCGTTGCGCCTGGAGCCTTCCGGAGCGGGAGCCACCTGGGCCTGGCCCTGCCTCAGGCCGGGTGGAACCCGTTGCCGACCCGTTCTCTGGCAGGCGCGGGAGGCCCGCGTTCTCGCGTCCCAGCCCTCGACTCGGCGAGGCCTCTGCTGGCCGCGCGTCCTCCCCGCGCCCCGTGGGCGCCCGCGCGGGGGCCAGAGTGCGAGCCGAGCCCGGATCGGGCCTTTCTGCACGGGCAGCCTGGAGCGCGGCTGCAAAGGCCCAGACTGCGGCCCGGGCCTCCCTTGACGTGGAGCCTGCCGGCCCCCGGGGCTCCAGGGCGCGGGTGGCAGTGGAGCTTAGGATGGAGGCCCCTTGGCCGTCGTGAGCGTGTTTTTTGGAGTCTGGAGGGAGCGTAGGGGGGCAGTGGTAGTCCGTGAGGCTGGATCCTTTGCTCCCATCCTTGGGTCTGGCGTCAGCCGCCGGTCCTGGCTAATGTGTTGGGCCCATCTTTGCAGATAGCCGCCTGCGCCTACTGAACCTATTTCTCCATTATTTTGCCACAGCCTGGAGTTGCTGAAACAATTGCAATAGCAGATATAGCAGATAACCATCACCGTATTGGTTATTTGTAAAACTCTGTAACTCTGTAAAACTTAAGTGGAAGTTTCTGACTTTTAAAGGAATAGGATGGTCACCTGCTTTGGGTCACTTTTTTTTTTTTTTTTTTTTTTTTTAAGAATTATTTATTTATTTATGCAAGGCGCGGGAGGGTGAGAGAATTCGCCAGAGACAGAGCAGGGAGCAAAACAGGCAGAAGGACCGAAGTACACTCTGAGGGGAGCAGCGGGCGAGACAGGAGAGGTCTGCCGAGCCAGGTGGGAATGTCCCTGGCAGGCCTGCAGAGGCTGCAGACAGCTTCACAGTGCTGAGCTCAACCCGCTGTGCCACCGGGGAGGCCCAACTATGGGTCACTTTTTGATGGCGACATCAGGTTTGGGTTTTTGGGTCATGAATTTTTCATCAGTGTAACAATAGAATGGGTCTGTGTCACAGTGCAATGCAGACTTTTTTACCCTGCCCTCTAAAAGGAGATGTCAGAATTTCGTGCCATTTTTGTGTCATTTAAAATAGTTGTTTTTTCTTCTCTTTTGCGATGTGATCAAACCCACTACAAGCTGTCCATGGAGGGTGGTTTAATTTTCATGTGTATGGGAGCCTAAGGAATTTGTAAATACTGGAGCTTAATTAAATTTGGTGTAATTTCCAAGTGTAGCAGCCTGAAGAATGGTTTTGAAAGCATGTCAAATCAAAATTTGATCCATTATTATCTGAAAATTTTGTCTGGAATTCCATTTGTCTAACTCTAGAAAAAGTTCTCTTTGAGTATCCAGTCTAGGATTACACAGTGCATTAAATTACAAATTAACTGATTGCCTTCTTGCTATTTAATAAGATCTCAAGTCCCTTAAGGGTAACCTAATATACAAATTTGACTATGACTAAGCATATCTTGCTGGTTTTTTTCAAAATTTTTTTTAAGAAAAAAGAAATGGTCTTGTTTACAAGCACTTTAATTACCTGCACTGCCAGACTTATTCTGTAATACTCATTCCAGCACTATGGAATATAAAAAGAACAGTGTTTTATAATTAAAAGTTGGACTCACATTAAAATATTTCCTTTGGAAATACCTTTCATTGTTGCCTTGTCACAGGGAAGGCCCTCTGTTCTGGGCCCTTCTCCATTGAGCCAGGACTACTGCATTATTGGCACGCATTAAGTATTATGGAGAAGCAGACATATTTGTAAACTGAAAAGTGAAATCTGATTCTCTCAAACCAAGGATGATTGAGAGCAGGATATTTCATTAGCTGATTTTGAAACAGTTCACCTTTTCACTTCCTTTCCCTAATAGCTTTCAGTTTGGGTGATGGAAATACTCTGGGAAAAGCTGAGTGAATGTTTTAACTGATTTAATGGGTCTTAAGTATTTGAACATAAAATGGGTGCAGTGAATACTTTAAATGCCACATTCTACACTTTCAAATAGTGACATAACAGGATTATGCATGTGGTGAAAATTGAGGTCTTAAGTTAATCTTTGCAGCTAGGTATTGCTGTGCCTCCATACTTCATTGCATCATACCCCAAAAACCCCAGTAAAAAATCTGAAGATGGTAAGAAATTTCTGGCCTTAGATTTTTTTTTTTTTTTGCTAGGTCTCTGTTCCATTGAAGTTAATTACTTAATTAACTTTTATGTAAGAGGTGTCTTTTTCTTAATGACTCAGTTAATCTGAGTTAATAAACACATTTTTGGAGCAAGTTATAGGTTATTACTATAATTATTTTGGCAGAAGATCTCAAACTTGGACACCTGGACAGTCAGGAATGAAAGATAAAATTAAGACTCTAAAGTGTATTTAAGGTCTTTATTTAGTTTAAGGGATTAGATTGATTCCTTAATTTATCTTTAAATGTTTTACTCTCTTGTGTATGGTTTTACATTTATCCAAACACAAATAAATGTATCCTGATCTACTCTTTGGGTCTGAACTTATTTTTCACTGCTAGGTCTCACTAAGTGAGAATTACTATCTTTAGGTAGTAGTACTTTGTTTTGGAATGACCTCAGATTCGCAGGTGATTGTGTCAGTTAACTATTCAAATAGGAGTTGTCACTATTCAGTGAGAGCAGAAAGGCAAGCAGAGAATAAATAAGTCCATTTTAGTTACATTTTGCATCACCAGTAGTGAATTTAGTAGGGCAGGCCTTAAAAGCTTCTGTTGCTGAGAGTTTTACTGTGAAGAAATTTTATAGAATAGCCTGTGAATAATCCCTTAATGTTTTTTACAGAGGTATATTCTACAGGTCCTTAAGCTTTTATAGCTAAGATTGAGGGCTTCCAACAGATTGTAGTTGATGGAATTTTGTATAGTACTAATTAATAACTCTTAAATTTCAAATTCAGTTTAATACTTTTTTTTAGATGCCTTCAATTAAGTTGCAGAGTTCTGATGGGGAGATATTTGAAGTTGATGTGGAAATTGCCAAACAATCTGTGACTATCAAGACAATGTTGGAAGGTAAGCTTATTAAAATATGATAGTCAGGGGAAAGGGGGAAAACAAGTACTTTGAGATAACCTCTGAACATCAGATTTACACAGATAATCTGTCATTAAAGTGCTCAAGAGTATTAATTTTTTTCCTCTAAATTATTAATTGCATTATTCTGCTACAGGTCATCCTTTCTGCATTGTTTGAATTAATAAATAATGAGACCATAAGCTAATACTGAAATGATTTTCAAAACCTCAGACAGTGGTCCATTTCTGTTTCAGGTAAATTTGGTTTCCCAATTTTTAAAGATAAAAGTTAAAAAGCTTTCGGAAAAGAGATACCCTGTTACACGGTAGCTAAATAGAGTATCCTTTTGAACTGAAGGGAATAAGCTGAGTAGATTAGAAACTGAGTAGAGGTCTTTTTTTAAGCTAAGTTTTGCCTTTTGTCTGTTTTGTTATTCCTCTGAAATAGAGCACAACACAAACAACAACAAAGGCCAGAAAAAACAGGTCCTGAAGCATTTTGAAACTCTTAATGTAGTTAATGTAGATCTCTTCTTAGTATTACTAACAGATTGGTGGATGTTAATAGTATATGGACACATACAAATTAGAGTTGGTGGGGAAAACCAGTAGAAGGATGTTCTTCAGTATTCAAATATCAAAGGTTTTTATTATCTGTAACTTATACATTCTAAAAATTTATGTGCCAAGAACCAGCTAAAGGCTGGTGAAAAAAAAGGTAAATGAGAAATGGTTTTTGTCCTTGAATAATTGATTTTATTTTTTTAAAGATTGATTTTTATTTATGCATAAAAGAGCTGGCGTGTAGGCCAGAGGTTCAGGGTGGCAAGAGGATTCAGAAGAAAAAGAGGATACAGCAGAGGCAGATTGGGAACAGAACAGGTGGATCTACTAAAATACATTGCTGCGGGGAGCAGTGGGTGACACAGGAGAGGTCTTCTGTGCCATGTGGATTAGCTCCCTGGCCAGGGATTGAACTCATGCCACAGTGGCTGGTGGTTGCTTTATAATGCTGAGACTTTAACCCCCACACCAGCAGGGAGGCCTTGTCCTTGAATAATTTGTAAACCAGGAGACAGAAGACAAGCAAAGGAAACTGTCATGTGATATAATTAGAACATTGATAAATTTGTGTGCTAGGTGGAGATGTGGGAATATTGTGACTGATGTTATTCTTGGGGTTTGTGTAGAGATTGTGATGTATAGTACTAGTGAGGGGATATTTCAATAATAGTAAGATTAGGATGTTTTTGAAGATCATTCTGAGGTAAAGTAGATAGGGTGTGTTAGAAAAAAGTTAAATTGAGGTTTTTAGTTTGGGTTTATTGGAGTGGGATGAGATTGCGATGATGTAGTTGGTGGAACTACAGGTGAAGAATGGGTTTGAGAGAAATGGAGAAAGAGATGTCTCAAACATGTGTTTGAGAGTCTTTCAGAATGTCTTTGTAACAATCTAGTAGGCATTTGCATATGTGGCTCTTAAGTGTCTAAGTTGTAGACTGCTGAAGATGGACTTTGTATGGTGGGTTATGGCAGTATATATGGGAGTAAATGAAGTTGGGGACCCTTTCTAGGATAGGGTTAGGGGGGATTGAGAGTATGGAACTCAGAAGTAGAGAATCACTGTTTGAAGCAAAGGGAAGAGGGGGCCATTATGAGGTGACCAGAATGATCCAGATTCATGTGTTGCACACTGGTCACTTAGGATTTCATAGTTAATTTAGAGGACTTTTACCAAGCATGGTAAAGGCAGAAGCTGAATTGCAGTGTGTGTGCCTTCTGTTTTCTAAGCAGGTAACTTGGGGTTTGCTGATAAAAGCTGAACATACAAATTCCTTTTTGGTAATTATTACCATCATATGGCACTTACAGTCCTGCACCCTGGTAACTCACATACATAGATCACTTCTATTAAGTTGTAAACCCCTTGGTACATCCCACAGTAACTGTTCATCAAGTACCTGTTGAATGAGGAACTGTGATGTGGTCACTAATAAAGAGTGTGAGAGCTATCCAGTTGTGTCCCTAAAGGCAGGTGAGTAAGGCTTTATCTGGAAGATGTAGAAACTGATATCACATTGCTGCCTGAATACTTGCTTTGGCAATGAAAGCGTTCTTTATTTCATGTTAGTTGGTGCCTGGCACGCTAATCTGTCCTGTGCTGCTTCAAAGAAGCATTTGCCAGTATAGGAACATAAGGCTCTTTGAAGGTTTTCCACTCCAGCTTTGATTACTGCAGCAAGTGGATGGATAGACAGCAACAATCAAAGGATTCTTTTCCTCCATAGCCTTTGGGCATCAGAATTGAAGGGTTTTATCTTAAGTGTGTCAGTGGTTTATATAGAATTGTGGTCTCTTGAGGACTGGAGTCTATTGAATTTGGCAACTTGATGGCTTTCCTTGTTTTTCATCTGCAGTAGGTCTTGTTATGTCTTTTTTATGTGCGTGACTTATGAAAACACAAAAAAAACAACAGGACGATGAGAAATGAAAATCTTGGCATGTGTACATGTGAATTGACTGCTATATTCAGGTTCAGGGTCTGGTATCAGGAATCCGCCTTCTCTCAGAAGCCCTTGAAATAAAATAGCTTAAAAGAATGGCTCTTTCTACTTGTGCATGCAGCCTAAAGCAAAAAACATTGCAAATCCTTAAATACTAGAGAAGTAATCTTTTACAACTATAAGGTCCTTATTTTTGTGACGTAAGCTTTCTTTCAAAGAACGTTTGGATTTAAACAAGCTGGTTTTCTGTATTATGTTTAATATCTTAATTCCCCCAATAGAAGTATTTTACAGAATGTAATTTTTTTTTAATAAAGATTATCTTTTATTTATACCATAGCTGGGGTACAGGTCAGAGGCGCGGGAGGGTGAGAGGATTCACCAGAGACAGAAAACACTGCTGAGGGGTGCAGTGGGTGAGTCAGGAGAGGTCTGCTGCACCATGTGGGTTGCTCCCTGGCCGGTAATCAAACTTGTGCTTGCAGTGGCTGTGGTTAGCTTCATAGGTTGCGTCCTAACCCCTTGCACCACCAGGGAGGCCCCAGAATATAATTTCTTTCTCCTCTGATTAAAATCACTTCAGGGCCTCCCCAGTGGCGCAGCGGTTGAGCGCTGGGTTGCGAAGCTGCCCGCAGCCTCTGCAGCGCCGGTTCAATCCCTGGCCACCAAGCGAGGGTCCCACATGGTGCCCAGACCTCTCCTGCCACGCCGGCTGCTCCCCTCAGCAGTGTATTTTGTCAGTCTGCCTGTTCTGCTCTCTGCTCTGTCTCTGGTGAATTCTCTCACCCTCCTGCGCTTCTGACTGTACCCAGTGCTTGTATAAATAAATAAATAAATAAATCTTTTAAAGATAAATAAATAAAATCACTTCATACTTGTTCAGGAAAAGCATAAGTGATTTTATCCAAATTGAGATACTGCTATTTTGCATTGCCATTTACAGGCTAAGACAGGAATAGGTAAAGGCATGGGTGGGAATGAGGAGATGGCAGATGATTGAATGGATCCATACAGGATAACAGGATACTGTTCTTCACTGTTCCCCTGCACCTGCTTGTTCAGCTCCATGACTTTCATTTTGTCAGGTGCATTGTCTGTTTAATTTCTCTCAACACACACTAACAGCATTTAACAGCTGATCATTTCTTCTATATCTGGCCTGCAGAAGACTATGCTTACTCCTTAAATAACCTTCTGTCTCACCATCTTCAAAGCTTGAATAATCACCGGCTCTCTTCACTAGATCTATACTCATTCATTTCTTTGGTCATCTTAGTCTAGTCTTGTCAACCATCTATATTTCATTACCCAAACTTGCTTATTGTTCTGAGCTCAAAAAAAAAAAAAAAAAAAACAGTTCTGCTGTCCTTCTTCCTACTAATTAACTGGACAACTCCAATCACAGTTCTGTCCATCTAGTTTCTCATGTCATAACCCTTAGCTTTCCTCGACTACTTTTATATTTTACCTGCCATCTGTTGGTAGATCTTATTTATCTGATTGCCTTTAAAAATGCACACTGGGGCCTCCCTGGTGGTGCAAGGGGTTAAGCACTGCACTTTGAAGCAGTCCACAGTTTCTGCAGCACGAGTTCAATCCCTATCGATCCCTGGCTGGCCAGGGAGCAATCCACATGGCGCAGCAGACCTCTCCTATCTAGTTGGCTACTCCCTTCAGCAGTGTATTTCAGTCAGTCTGCTACTCTACTCCCCACTCTGTCTCTGGTGAATCCTCTCACCCGCCCGCATCTCTGGCCTATACTCAGCTCTTGTATGCACATGGGGGGGCCTCCCTGGTGGTGCAAGGGGTTAAGCATCAGCACTATGAGACAATCCTCAGCTTCTGCAGCATGAGTTCGATCCCTGGGCAGGGAGGTGACCTACATGGTGCAGCAGATCTCTCCTGACTCGCCTGCTGCTCCCCTCAGCAGTGCATTTCAGTTAGTCTGCCTGTTTTGCTCCCCACTCTGTCTCTGGTGAATCCTCTCACCCCCTGCACCTCTAATCTGTACCCCAGTTCTTGCATGCATAGATAAATCTTTAAAAAAAATAAAAATGCACACGGCTTTAGACCATTTCTTCACTTTCCATTTCTATGAATCTTGTCCAAGTTACCATCCTGTGCCTGAATTATTGCCAACCCCGTAACTGTCCCCCACACTGTCTTGTCCCAATGTAATAGCCAAAATATGCAAGGCCTTTACTACCAGGTTCCTGTTGTTGAGCTCATCTGCTCTCTTTGCTTTTGCTAACCCTGCTCAGGTAACACTAGATTCCTTAGTGTTTTAGAAGCTGCCAGACATGACTAACAGAAGACATAAGCATTTGCCATTTTGTACTAAATGCCACCATCTTAGTAAGGCATCCACAGTAACTCCATCTAAAATTGCAACAATTGGGCCTCCCTGGTGGCACAGTGGGTAAGGGTTAGTACTATCAAACTATTGCCAGTGACTGCGGCATGAGTTTGATTGCTGGAATGCTTTCGATCCCCCACCAGGGAGCCGCCCCACATGGTACAGCAGACCCCTCCTGTCTCGCCCGCTGCTCCCCTCAGCAGTGTATTTTGGTAGATCCACCTGTTTTGCTCCCCACTCTGGTGAATCCTCTCACTCCTGCACCTCTGGCCTGCTCCCCAGTTCTTGTATGCATAAATGAATAAAATAAGTCTTTTAAAAAAAGTATTAAAAAAAGTAAAATTGCAACAATTCTTCCTTCTCTCCTTTATACATTGCTGACTCTAGGCCATCACCTCATTTATATCAGAGACTCCACACTGGTTATGTCAGCATAACTGATACACTGCTATAACCAATATAGTGCTATTGTAATTTGGCCTCTAACTTGGTGATTGCTGTTACATATAACTTTTTGGCAGCTCTTTTTTTAGTCATGTAGAAACTAAGGACAGACCCATTTGGTTTGAAAAAATAATCTTAGAATCTTTAACATGGATTTTATTTTATTTTTTAATGATTTATTTTTAATTTATTTATGCATGTAAGAACTGGGGTGTAGGCCAGAGGTGCGGGGGGGTGGGCAAGAGGATTCTCCAGAGGCAGAGTGGGGAGCAGAACAGGCACATCTACTGAAATACACCACTGAGGGGAGCAATGGGTGAGACAAGAGAGGTCTACTGTGCCATGTGGGTTAGCTCCCTAGCCTGGGATCAAACTCATGCCACAGTGGCTGGTGATAGCTTGATAGCACTGAGACTTTCACCCCTGCACTACCTGGGAGGCCCCATGTATGGATTTTAATTTTAGATTTTTACTTTGGAATTCACTATCTTTGAGAACCTGAAAGGTATGCCTTTTCACCATAGCAACCAATAGATTCAATATTGCAGAGTTAGTATGTGTGTGTGATGAATAACATGAAAAGGATGTTCCTCAACCCATGCCCTTTAACTTCCCTAGACATAATATCATTAACAGTTTCTTACATATCCTTTAGAAATATTTTAAAGATAAATAAGCATATTTTCACTTTTATTCAGGTAAGTTTTATTATTTTATACTTGACTTGAAATTATACTAGTGTGAAATCATAACAGTGTAGCAGGAGCTGCTTGCCTAGTTTTTGTCAGTGACTGCATGATCTGTTGTGTGTGTGTAAGTACATTTGGATTTCAGATTTTAATAGATTGAGATTCTGTTGCTTGTAGTACTTCATCATTTGATTTTTCATAAATGTAATCTATCTAGAGACTTTGGTATAAAGAGTAAGGATAAGGGTCTCCTGTTATTTTTTTTTCAAATGGTTGACTGTTCATCTCAGTCCCTCTTGTTTAATCGCATTTTCTCCTAATGAAGAACTTTTGTAATACTATATTTCTCTGATTGTCAGCTCATAGAGTTTAATATAGTTTTGGGTGGTTAATGGACCTGTTGTTAGAAACTGCTAGTGTTAAAGTACTGTGCTTAGTACTTTTTGTGTTTCTTTCAGACAACCTGTCATTCATGTTACTTGTTTGGTACCTAGCCTGGTTGGTATAAGTGTTATAATGAAGTTAGGAAATAATGGCAGCTCTCTCCTGGTTTTCTTAGATTTGGGAATGGATGATGAAGGAGATGATGATCCAGTTCCTCTTCCTAATGTTAATGCAGCAATACTAAAAAAGGTAAGGTAGCAAACTGTACTTGTAGATGACTTTCTTTTTCCATTTAACAATATCCTGATGATCTTTTAAGTTGATAAATAGCTTCCTTTAAGCAAAAATTTTTATGTAGTATAATTATGACTTTTTTGAAAGATTTATTTGTTTATGCATACAAGAACTGGTGTGTAGACCAGCGGTATGGGGGGAGGGTGAGAAGATTCACCAGAGACAGAGTAGGGAACAGAGCAGGCGGTTTGACTGAAATACACTGCTGAGGGGAGCAGCGGGCAAGACAGGAGAGGTCTGCTGCACCATGTGGGTTAGCTGCCTGGCTGGGTATCAAACTCATGCTGCAGTGGCTGCTGATAGCTTGATAGTGCTGGGACTTAACTCCTTGTGCCACCAGGAATGCCCTGATTATGACTGTTTACCCAGACTATAAATATTTGATTTGTCTAATCTCTAGCATGAGGACATTTAAATTATTGAAATAGTATCTGCTTTGCAAAAGGACATTTTTTGTATTGTTCATAGAATGGGTATGTCTCAAAGGGAACTTGAGAGGACATGTACTTTTGGTTTTTGTTGTTGTTGTGAGCCTTACCTTGTATCCAAGCATAAATAACCCTCCATATTGAGTAGGCCTTCAATCACGTGGCCCTTTAACAGACCCAGTTACTTAATTCGATAACTTATCTGCAGAAACAGAAGCCAGTTTCCATATTGAAGGGAAAATTGGCTAAATTAGAGATGGTAATGATAGACTTCAGCTGCCTTCCTAAGGCATTTTCAAATATCATTGATCATAAATAGTGTCATCTCATGCTTTCTCTTGAAATCGACATGAATTACAGCAGCACTGAATATTTTTCCATGATCTTACTAAGATTGGGTATTACCAGACTTTTTAATGGTTGAAAAGTGATTTTTTTTTTAAGCCAGAACATTTTACATGTGTTACTGGCCTTTTTCTACTTTGTTTTCCTTTGCCCATCTTTATAAGGAACTTAAAAAAAATTTGGTGAGAAAACTGTATTTATTTGTTTATGTACAGGCCAGAGGTGTGGGGGATGAGAGGATTCACTAGAGACAGTAAGGAATAGAACAGTAGGATTGACTAAAACACACTGCTGAGGGGAGCAGCGGGTGAGTCAGGAGAGATCTGCTGCACCGTGTGGGTCATCTCCCTGGCCGGGCATGGAACTCGTGCTGCAGTGCCTGCGGATCGCTTCACAGTGCTGTCCTTGCGCCACCAGGGAGGCCCCATTGATGGTTTTGAACCTTTACTTTTTATTTAGTTAGATCTCATTTCTAATGTGTGGGCATTGTCTTATAATGAACATTCTATTTTATATTAATATAAAATGTCCCTAAGAGAACTTTGCTTATATTCATTCAAATGCATGGATATGTGCTGGAGAAATACAGTGGTGAACCAAGGCAATAAGGTTTCTGCCCTTAGGGAGTTTATGTTGTAAACATGTGGGAAAAATAAGCATAATAAATGTCTGTTGGGTCGGCTTTGGTGTTTAAGTGAGTTGGTAGGTGGAGAGTTAGCTATTTTAAAAATAAAGATGGTTAAGAAATGTCTTAATGAGAGGATGATCTTGGAACAAAGACATGAATATGTTGGGGGAAAAATTGTAGGGAATGGGAGCAAATGCAGTGATTCTTAAGACAACACAATGACCTACTTTTTGAGGATGGATGGGAGGCTAGTGTAGTGGCTAGAGCAAAGAGCTAGTAGCAGATGTCAAGAGTTAATGGACTGGGTGATAAGGGCCATGTTTTTTTTTAACCTACTTGTATTATTACTTATAAATATTTAAACTTAAGTACATTAAATAATAATTGGGATTTAAAGATTGTAAAAGATGTACAATAAGATCTCTGACCCTTGTCTCTCATCTGATCAGAAATTCCTTCAAGTAATAATCAACTTTAATTTCTTACATATCCTTTTAAGAGTTTTTTATACCTGTATAAGCAAATCCTAATTGTTTCTTACACAAGTGGAATACTTTTTAAAAAGCTTTTGTTTCTTTCATTAAAGCATACCCCTACCGGGCCTCCCCTGGTGGCACAGCGATTGAGCGATGGGCTGCAAAACTGCCCGCAGCCTCTGCAGCGCCAGTTCAATCCCTGGCCGGTGGCGAGGGTCCCACATGGCGCGCAGACCTCTCCTGTTGCTCCTGCTGCTCCCCTCAGCAGTGTATTTCGTCAGTCTGCCTGTTCTGTTCCCTGCTCTGGCTCTGGTGAATACTCTCACCCTCCTGCGCTTCTGACTATACCCAGTGCTTGTATAAATAAATAAATAAATCTTTAAAAAAAAATAATAAAGTCTACCCCTACCATGGTTAGCTTTTCTTCTAGAAATAATTCTTTCCCTTTTTTGCATCCTGACAGTGTAATTTCTTGCCTCCCCCATTTTCTGTCAGCATTGTTTAATCTCTGAATATTTTACTATGAAAAAATTGTAATGATGCAGAATAGTTGAATTATAATTATTACAATTATGTGTTGCTTAATGATGGGTCAGTTAACTACTGACTATGTGTACTGTGGTGATCCCTATGGGCTATACAATATGTCCTAGGTATATAGTAAGCTATACCATCTAGGTTTGTATGATTAACACTCTGACAAAATTGTCTAAGGATTTATTTCCTCTCCTTTGTTAAGTGACGGGTGACTGTATACAGCAAACACCCATTTACCTACCACCTAGGTTCTGCAACTTAACACTTTCAGTGTTGATTTTATTTTCTGTGTTGGTATGCATAGTCTAGCTAATGAACATCCTGGAACTTTTAACTATACTGTATTAATTTCCCCACTAAGGGAACAGTTGAGATGTTCTTGCGTTGTTCTGACACAGAATAGTCTTGTGAATATTTCAGGGATATATATTTATTGAATGTATTCATGTATTCAGCTTCACTAGGTAGTACTACATTGCTTTCAAAGGGATTATGCCAGTTTACACTCTTTATTACGTGAGTTAATGTTTCTTTCACACTATTAGCAGTGATAATAAACAAAACCCTGAAATTCTTTGGGTATAGGGGAAATTGAGTGTCTAATTAGCATGGCTAATTTTACATCTAATGAGACTGAGGTTTTTGTTTTTTTTTTTTTTTTTTTGGTGGGACCCTTGCCGGTGGCCTGGGAACAAACCAGTGCTGCAGAGGCTGCAGGCAGCCTCGCAGCCCAGCGCTCAACCACTGCACCACCAGGCGAGGCCCTAGACTGAGATTTCTTTTTTGAATTTCCTGTTCATAGCTTTGGCCCATTTCTCTCCAGTGAATTTTTTTTTTTTTTTGAAGATTTATTTATTTATTATTTATACAAGCACTGGGTACAGTCAGAAGCGCGGGAGGGTGAGAGAACTCACCAGAGCCAGAGCGGGGAGCAGAGCAGGCAGAAGGACCGAGGTACACTGCTAAGGGGAGCAGCGGGCAGCAGGAAAGGTCTGTGCGCCATGTGGGACCCTCCTCCGGTGGCCGGGGAGCAGCCGGGGATCGAACCAGTGCTGCAGAGTCTGTGGGCAGCTTCGCAACCCAGCGCTCAACCACTGCGCCACCGGGGAGGCCCCCATGTGCACACATTAGAGTTGTGAAGATGTCTGCACTTTATATTTACTTTTCAAGCTTGATTACTAACTTCATTATTCAAGTCAACCCTCTAGCTGTTCTTTAGTTAAGGAATAATTTTTCCTTAGCAGTGGAGTGAGTATTTTACCACAAAGAGATGAACTGTTGTTGTAGGTCATTCAGTGGTGCACCCACCACAAGGATGACCCTCCTCCCCCTGAGGATGATGAGAACAAAGAAAAGCGGACAGATGATATCCCTGTTTGGGACCAAGAATTTCTAAAAGTTGACCAAGGAACACTTTTTGAACTTATTCTGGTAAGTTTTTAATACATACTGTAAGCCATCTGTAGAGTGTTTTAGTACTTCTTACTGAGTTAAATTTGTGAGATTCATTGATAGTGCATTTTAACATCCTCTGAACTCAAATGCAGTGATATTTAATCTACTTATCAGTAATCATTAATAAATGTAAATGATTGGAAAACCGCAATTAAAGAATAGAGATTGTTGGATTGGGATTTTAAAAAAGGAGGATCTAGCTGTGCTGTCTACTCACCTTAAATATAAGACACAGGGTTAAAGTGTGGGAAAAGATAAGGTATCCTAAGGTTAATCAAAAACTGGAGTGGCTGTTAAAGTAGATTTCAAAGCAAAGAATATTAGGAGGGTTCAAGACCGTCTTTTATTGCATAATGGTAAAGGGATTAAATCTCTAATCACAGTAGAACTTTCGAAACCTGTCTCTAAATAATTGATAAAATAGGTAGACAAAGTCAGTCAGGATATTGAAGGTTGGAATAACACTATTGACTGACTTGTCTTAATTGACATAGGATATTAAAAATCTTAGAGCAGAATACACATTTTCTTCAAGTGTATGCTACCAAGATAGATGTGTTCTGGGGCTGTGAAACAAGCCTTGGATTGAAAAATAAAATCAGTTATATAAAGTATATATTTTCTGATGATGGTGAAAATAAATCAACAACAGAAAGATAGTTGGGAAATATGCAAATAATTGAAAATTAACTCACTTCTCGACAAGCCAGATGTCAAAGAAGAAACAAGAAAAACTAGAAAGTATTTTGAACTGAATGAAAATAATAAAACAACACATGAAAACCTGTGAGATATGCTGTTCAGCAGTATTTAGAGGGAACTTGAAAGCACTAAATACTGTGTTGAAAAGGATGAAAAGTCTTCCCTTGATCTACCTTTTACCTTAAAAAACTAGTAAAAGATGAAAATTAAACCTGAGGACAGGGAATATTAAAGAGCAGAAATCAGTAAAATAAAAAACTGAAAAAGTAGAGAAAATCAAAGAAACCAAAAGCTGGTTCTTCCAGAGGATCAATAAAATGTGCTATAGCTGCTTATGTTTGAATCTTCCTAAAATATTTTTGTCAAGATTTGCCTGTAATGTTTGTGTATGCATGCCTGTGTGTACACATACCCACTCATAGTCAGTAGTGGCCACTGTAACATTGGAAGTACTGTAACTGGCTTAAGGCAGCAAAAGAACTTGTTACTGTAGAGGTATAGCAAAGAAGGGAACATGCAACAATTTTTCCCACAGAAGAATTTGACATTTTCTCCCTTTAATGTCTCAAAATTGAATAGTGTTTTAAACTTTAATTAGATGTGCATTGTCAGTTGCTAGCTTTAGAATTAGTTTAAATCATTGAATATATTTTAATGAAAACAATCCCTTTTTAGGCTGCAAACTACTTAGACATCAAAGGTTTGCTTGATGTTACTTGCAAGACTGTTGCCAATATGATCAAGGGGAAAACTCCTGAGGAGATTCGCAAAACCTTCAATATCAAAAATGACTTCACTGAAGAAGAAGAAGCCCAGGTAAGGAGCCCACAGGTACTCTGTTGATCACCTGCTTTTTAAAGCAACTAAAAACCCATAACATACCTAGAAAAGAACTGCCTGTAAGTATAGGTGTTTTCTCTTTGCTAAAATTATTCTTGTTTAGATACTGGTTTGAGTCTATGATTCTAAATATTTTTGTGATTATATTTTAAATATAAGAAAAAGTTTCCAACCAGAAGTTGCACTTTGATATTATTTAATAGCTGCTAGTTTTGGGCCTCCCCGGTGGCACAGCGGGTTGAGCGCTGTGCTGTGAAGCTGTCCGCAGCCTCTTCAGCATGGGTTCGATTCCCAGCTGGCCAGGGAGAAACCCACATGGCGTGGCAGACCTCTCCTGTCTCGCCCGCTGCTCCCCTCAACAGTGTCTTCAGTCCATCTGCCTGTTCTGCTCCCTGCTCTATCTCTGGTGAATTCTCTCACCCTCCTACCCCTCTGGCCTATACCCCAGTTCTTGTATAAATAAATAAAAAATCTTTTTAAAAAAATTAAAAAATAATAATAGCTCCTAGTTTTGGCACCTAGGACCTTATATTAGGCCATGATATTTGACTTCAGAAAAGCAGGACCGATGGATGATTGTATGCCAGGATATTTCAGAGGAACTTAGTGAATGGGGAGGAGTGAATGAATGAATAAGTGAATCAGTAAGATTTTATTGACAGCTAGAGACTAAAATAATGTGAATGACTTACTTGAATTTCCTCTGTCAGCTCTGGTGACTGAAGCTGTAAAAATGTTTGCTTTTTTACAATTTTAAAAAAGAGTAAGCAGCAAGTGTTCTATAACCTGGTATTTTTCCAGTTTCTCATCTATTCCTTTCTTACCCACTTTGCAGACTATTGCAGATTCATTACAAAGTGGTCTTGGAAAGACTAAAGGTTTTACCTTATATCCGTCTCCTCTTCTAGGTACGCAAAGAGAACCAGTGGTGTGAAGAGAAGTGAAATGCTGTGCCTGACATTAACACTGTAAGGATTGTTCCAAATACTAGTTGCACTGCTCTGTTTATAATTGTTAATATTAGACAAACAGTAGACAAATGCAGCAGCAAATCAATTGTATTAGCAGAATATTGTCCTCATTGCATGTGTAGTTCGAGTACAGATTCCAGACATAAGGCTATTTCTTCTAGTGTGATCAAAAGTTACTTTTTCCTTTGCTCTGAATAAAACTGAACTTCAGTTTCTCTATAGAAAAGTGACATTTGGGCTTTCCCTCTTTTTGTAAAGTGATTCTGCCTAGTTTATTGCCCAGTTAACTTTAGTGACCTTTTAAAAGTTGACATTGTAAATAAAAACAACTTGCAAAAAGTTTTCTGAAATAGAATTAACAATGTATTATCTTTATTTGTGAGTTGGAAACTGGAAAAAGGCTATTCAAAGTAAATGTTCTGAGTGCAGTTATTAGGATGGCTTCCAGCTTCCTGGGGTCAAGGAGTGCCACAGGTATTGATTAGCCTGTGTGTAGCTGGGCTCCCTTATTTGGATCTGAGGACTTGTTTTTGCATATTTAATCCTTTCAGCTTTGACTTTGTTGCCTAGAGACTCAGTTACTACTCTGGTTTTAGGGGGGAAACATAAGTAGACAGTTCGTTAGCTTTTCAATTAAAAAGATACTTAACCCATGTGGTATGTCATCTTTTTATAATCAGTGATCCCATGTGGAAAAGATACTCATTGCATGTGAAAAGTAATTTAACTTTTAACATTAAAATGTGCGGCAAAACACAAAGCATCCATCTTGAATGCAAGATTCTTTCAATAAAAAGTAAGCTATGTAGTAGGTAGTAAATGGTTTTTACTTTTGTGTACTTAAATGTGTCTCTTCACTTAATAGTAGAAAAATTAATGTACAGTTGTGTAGCTAAAAAAGACTTAGAGGCAGTTAAAATTCTAACTCCCTAGAGGCTGATGATGTAACTGTAGGGTAGGTAGTCTCTTCTAATTGTCATTGACACAGGTCAGTGGAGCCGGTGCTGCAGTTCTTCACTGGTATACTTGGGTTCTCAGAACTCTATGGCCATTGTTTATAGCCTCTTTCCTACAGAACATTGATGTTTTCTTGCTGACTTGATGGCTCACATGCTTGATATATTTTTCTTTCTTGTGCTCCCTCTTTTCTTTCATTCCCAGTGAGCATCATCTGTATTCACACATTAGTTTTGTTGTGTTCTCTTCATGTTTACTGTGAGATGTCTGGGCTCAGATTATTACTTGACAGTAGTTTGCCTTTATTGCACCCCTTATTTGCCCTTGATCATTTAATAAAGTCCTAAGTGCTGTCACATATTAAGCCCTATTTGTCATCTGTATCAGAGATAGCAAACTACAGTCTATGTATGGACAACCTATTCTTGCAGTCTGAGTTAAAATGGTTTTATATTTTGAAAGGATCACTTAATACAGAGACAGTAGTAGACCAAAAGTCTAATATACTTACTCTTTGCGCAGAAAAGTTTGCTAACCTCTGTGATTACTTCTGGATCCCTGAGTCCCTTTATTCTCAGAAATTAAGCTGGTTTTTCCTTTTCCTTGGTTATAGGGGGGAAAATGGCAAGAGTTCAGACCTAGCTGGAGTGTCTCATCTGCTAATCCCCACTATAATGGTCAACTCTTTAAAAAAACATATCCACTCCAACTATATCCCTCACAATATCATGCAAAACATACATCTTTACTGAAAGTTTGGGATTATTAGCATATGCTGGGTTTAGTTTGGAAAGCTTCTCAGAAATGGGAGCCTATTAATACCAGATATTGATCTATATAATGCCCAAGAACTATTTGAATTACAGAGGTCGTAAATAATATCAACACCTATATTAAAGTATTCTGGGATCTTTCTGAATATTTAAGATTGCGTGGACAGATACTATAGCTTAAATTTTTGTTTCCTCCCTGACTTTTTATAGACTATGACCCTAATTTTTAAACAAAGTTCTGATACTTAGGTTTAATAAGATCTTGTAGCTCATCCAAGAGAAAGTAGGCCCTTTGTAGACCGTATGTGCCCAGTAAATCATAGGCATTGTGTTAACAGGCCCTTAAAGCTAACTGCAGCACTCTTTTCCTGCCCTTTTTACCCTGCTGTGTGCTTACTGTTTCTTGTCTGCAAAGAGTTTTCTAGGTTCTCATCTTATCCAAGGAAAGTGAGTGGCCCTTACATGTAGCCATATCTGTCTTCAAGATACTTCTGCTTATCCTTTCACTTCCCAGTAATTCTAAACTAAAATTGTAACATGAGGCCATGCTGTGAGGCTGGTGTCCTGCTCTTGCTTCTTAGTGCCTGCCTGTATGGCCTTGGATGAGTTGGAAATAGTATTTACTGTAGTTCACAGTTCTAGTATAGTCTACTTCATATTAGGTATTAGGTGGTCTAGTACTGAGAGACCGCTTGATAGCAAGACATAACATGTATTTAACAGCACTGTTAAAATAATTAAAATTGAGGGGGCACATCTGTATGAATTTTTATTAGGAACACAAGTGAAAGATGCTCGTGCAATGAAGGTCTAACATAATGAAAACAAAAATAGCTATTCTAGGGCATAGGAGGGCAAACCGGTGATAGCCTAGGTTTTGGAAGGTAGTCACTGCTGATTAATTATGAAGGTTCTCTTTAAATATTGGTGTATGTGGGAGACAGAAGGTGACATTTCTTGATTACCCTCAGGGCTAATTAGGGAATAGCCTATATTTTGACAGGAAAGAGAATGAGAGGAAGAGCAGATTTCAGCTGAGATTCAACAATGTTTGTCTTTTTCCTCTATATACACAGAAAATGCTTAACTAGTACCTGTGGTGGTGCTGTTGGTGATCTTCATTCTCTGTGATAGTCCTTTGACTTACTTTCCAGCTGAAAAAATAAATCCCTTTGAATGTTAGCTTATTTCTCTCTGGCAATGTCAGGAACAACAGATGTGCCCCCTCAATTTTAATAATTTTTACTTTGTGGAAGCAGGTTACCTCTTTTGAAGTTTGTTATATTTTAGTAGCTCACCTTCATAAATTTACCTTTAATACACAAGGTAGGTACTTCTTTGTCATTTGTGTATTTTTCCAAAGATTTACAAAGGCATTCCCCTAAGTTGTAGGTCCCTAAGTAGCATTACAGTTGAGATTTGTTGGAATACCAACTATTGGAATTAAGCAAGATGTACATGTAACTTGGTGAACTGCTGGCTGCTTGGTGAACTGCTGCTTGGTGAACTGCTTGGTGAACTGTTGTAATAACATGTGACAGTAATGCTGAGTTTAACCTGGAATTAGCAAGAAAAGGAGGATAGTAATAGTGTGTCACTATGGGCATGTGATTCTGCAGGCAGATATTCAAGACTTGACGTCTTAATTTACTTAAAAAAATGTCATTTGTGGGGCCTCCCCGGTGGCGCAGCGGTTGAGCGCTGGGTTGCGAAGCTGCCCGCAGCCTCTGCAGCGCCGGTTCGATCCCCGGCTGCTCCCCGGCCACCGGAGGAGGGTCCCACATGGCACGCAGACCTCTCCTGCCGCCTTCTGCCTGCTCTGCTCCCTGCTCTGGCTCTGGTGAGTTCTCTCACCCTCCCGCGATTCTGACTATACCTAGTGCTTATATAAATAAATAAATAAATCTTTAAAAAAAAAAAATGTCATTTGTTTTCTGATCCAGGATAAAAATTAAGAAGAAATGAAGTAAGTTGCCTAGGTTTTTTTTTTAATTTTCTAGAGGCATGTCTTATTTATCTATTTGTTTGTTTGTTTGGTTTATACATGCACTGGGTACAGTCAGAAGCGCGGGAGGGTGAGAGAATTCACCAGAGCCAGAGTGGGGAGCAGAGCAGGCAGAAGGACCAAAGTACACTGCTGAGGGGAGCAGCGGGCGGCAGGAGAGGTCTGCACGCCATGTGGGACCCTCCTCCGGTGGCCGGGGAGCAGCCGGGGATCGAACCGGCGCCGCAGAGGCCGCGGGCAGCTTCGCAACCCAGCGCTCAACCGCTGCGCCACCTGGGAGGCCCTAGTTGCCTAGGTTTTTAATTAGGGCAGTTTAAACAGGAAATGACTTCCACCAGGAAAGAGAACAGAGAGCAGTAGAGTTCTTGCTCTGTCTTGTCTGTGGCCATCAGAATCTCTAATTTTTCTTAGTTTAACATTTCCACTTCCACTTGCATTTGAAGATCTGGTTTTTTGTTTATCAAAGTTGAGTGTGCATTCAGGTGGCTGAGGAAATCAAATATTCTCCCTACAGAGTTGCTTGAGCTTTAAAAATATAGTAATCTTCAGTTATCTGGATTTGTATGAAACCTGATTTCTGGCTAGGAAAGGAGAATAAGGGAGAAAATGGCAAATAAAGGAAAAGCATATGAAATGTTTGAATGTTAAAGTATAGCTCCAGGCTTCCTTGTAGGGAAGTATAAGAGTTGGTTGCCCTTTTGGAGTTTTTAGTGTCATTAGAGGTAAAGTATAAATGCTGCTGGCAGGGGATGAGTAACTAATGGAAATATTGGATAGAACAAGATTAAATAGCAAATGGGGCTGCAAGGTGCAGGAAAGGTTCCACGAGGAGAAACTAACTTGGTTTAAAAGTAAGTTGATTTGGCTGGAGACCCAGGGATGCGATGGTGAGGGGGAGAGCAGTGCTTAGTCAGGAACTAGAAGCAGAAGGTCTGTCGAGCAAATAGACTGGAAGAGACATTAGGACTGCATTGGTGACAGAACTTTGGTGATGGCTCTAGGGAAAGTATTTTACCGAGAGTATTTATCAGATCCATGTTGGGCAGGGCAATGTTGGTTTAAACTAAGACATATAATAATGATGAATTTTAAAGTATTCTGAATATTGGGGGTCTTACAGCTAGAATCCTGATAACTTTGTTTATTGTTGTTGAAAATCACTGCCTCCATTCTGCTGCCAGAGTAAGAACTGAATGTGCATATCAAGATGAAGTAAGAAATAGTTTACTGCATGAAGTAGTGTAGAACATGTTACTTGGCCAACCTTGAGCGATTTGGACTCCTATACAGGATAGACTGAATATTGTCTATCCTGTTGAGCTGTCTGATGACAAGCTTGTTGGTGAAGGTGTTCTGTCAGATGGATTTTCAATGTGAAACTTCATTTGAGTGGTAGTTTTAACTCATGGATGACATAGTTGTATATTTTGCAGTTTTTGTATTGGTTACATCTGGTCTGTGTATCAGTATTGAGGAGCGTTTTGTGGGAGGAATATAGTTGCTCACAATATCTGCTTGCATTCTGACACTGCTCAGTCTGAGTTTTCAGGAAGTATTTAGCATGTTAACTTCCTATCTGCCAGCTGGTCATTTGATTCTGAGGCTCAGCCTGTTGCATAAAAGTGCTTTCACTTTGAATACTTTCCACCTGTATGGTTCAAATTCCTATTTGTCCTTTGTGTGTTGAGTGTGTCACTTCAGTCTGTTACAGTCTGTTAATCTGCTTCATATGCTTTGCAGATTTTTCTGTTTCAGGAAACCTAGAGGAGGGGGGAATGTAGAGCTACACTATCAGGAAACCACATTGAAGAGGCTTTTCCAGAGTGATTTTTTTTTTTTTTTTTTTTTTTTTGTGAATGGAACCCAATTCCTCCCCATCCATGTTTCTTACCCCCTCCCCATTACACTGACTGCACATGCCTGAGTGAGCAAGACTTTACTGAAGGAACGAGAGAATACCTGAATGGAAAAAGGAAGACTTTGGACAGAAAGCCCGGGTGAACTTGAAAGATGTGTCCGCTATTAACTATTTTCCATATAATTCACAGCTGCTGTCTCTTCTTCAGAAATTACCTCATGAAGAATGCTTGGGATCAGATAGATCCTGTCCCTGAGACAGAATTTGCCCTTCCTAGTTAACTATGCCCATTTCCATGCTATTCTTAACAGCTTAAAATCGCTCCTGATCTGAGTTAGGCTTTTGTTCTAGAAACCTGTGGAAACACTACCTCCCCCACCCCTGACCCTTGCCGCTACCCCCCCCCCACACACACACACCCCATCTATGTTCTCTTGTAAAACTCTGCTTTTTGAATATATGAAGTCAGGATCCCATTGTCCTCTGTGGACAGTACACCAGTGAAGGTCTGTTACCTATTCCAGACCATTATAGAGCTCAGGGTGATTTGTGATCAGTAGTTGATTGAAATAGTGGGGACCTGGAAATTTGACACATCCGAGGAACCAGGATCTGCATGGATGGCCAGCTGTTTCAGGGATGTTTGGGGAGTCTTAATTTCAGCTGTTTATTATAAAACAAGCTTTTTTTTTCTTTTCTTTTTTTTTTTTTGGTTTTCTACTTTCTATGTAGGCCTGGACTGATGTATAGATCTGGCAAGTCCTTGTTACCCTTTTTCTGTGTCTTTCTAGAAAGCAGATTGGTACTTATTACCAGTCTTACTCTGGCTTAATGTGAAGAACCATTCCTCTTCCCTGCACTTGTGGCCTTCCAAGTGGATTTACCGTCCATTGAATAGTGCTAGGCAGCAGTGCTTATTTAGAAGATTGCTGCAGTTCAGAAGAGTCTAGCCACCGGGGCTACTGTAAAAGTGGGAAACAACCTCAAATTGGGAATCTTAAGAGGGCCCCCGCTATCTTGCTGAGCTGAGCCCTTTTCTTATCTACTGTGCAGAGGAGGGCAGGGGGAGCAGCTACAGCAGGTCAATAATCCGCATTTTGGGCAAAATCTGCCAGTTTTCTGGGAATGTGTAAGAGAGGTTGAGTATCTTGTCTTACGTCTCAGAAAAACAGGGTTCTTGGCTGACATGGTGGAACTGGTTTTTATGTGATATTGAATTTCGGATTGCAATCTCAAATCATCCTGTGGCCTCGGGAATGTGCTGGTGTGATTTGGGAGGATTTGAGTTTCCTCTTTGAAGTCAGTATTTTAAAAAGGCCAGTCTCATTTTCAAAGCCCCCTCTCCACCTTCTCATACACAAAGGGTGCATTGTTCATGTACGCAGTGTACTCTAAAGGAGACACCAAATCAGATGCAGCAACCCAGACTTGCATAAGACTTGGTTAGAATGTAGTTTTTAAAAACTAGGCCAGTAGCCAGAGCGGAATTCTTTAAATAGGACAGATGTCGAGAGAATGGCTGGTTTCCTCTAGCACCCTTCCAGAAAGAAGCAAGGCTGGGATTACAACTTCCAGTGGCCTACTTTAAAGAGACACTACCCTGGAAGATGACTTTATTTATAAATATTTTTAAATATAAAATAAAAAAATATAACTCAGTGAAAATTACAACGTGACTACTTCAAAGCACCTTGACAGTCATTGGGAGGGGGAGAAGGGGTGCTATTAAAATACCCTTATTTTGGACATGATACCAGATTATGAAGTATCGCTGTTCAATTTTTTTCATTGAAATAGGTTATGTGCTTGTCAAGTGTTTTGTATTTTTCTCTGCCCTCAGAGAACAATGGAGCCTGGTGGTCCTGTGTGCCTCTTTTCATTTGAGTTGTCATAGGATTTGTGGGCAGCAGCTTTAAACCCATTTATTCTGAGTACTAGGGGACAGGCTGGCCTGTTAACCACTTGTGAGGTCAGAGGATTGGGGATTAAGAGCAAGGCTTGGAGTAGGAGCTTATACCCAGCATGAGTCAGGATTGGGACAGGGCCCTAATCCCCTTAAGGGGAAATGAGAGTGATTTCTGGCTCCTGTCAGGGAAGGACTTCAGAACATGTATATTGCAATAGGGAACAACTCCCAAGTTTTCATGGCTGCAGAGAAGGAAAGTGTGTTATGTTATGCTGTTACTGAGACCGCTTATTCCTCAGGGTCAAGCTTTGAAAAAGAAACCCAGTAAAAAGTATCTTTATTCTCATGTTAAAAAAGTTTTTCTATGATGATGCATTAACAATACAAAAATAACTTGGAACACTACAATGGTCCTTTTCTCTCTTGACTTCCTGCAACACTACACTAGAATAATGATCTTTGGATTCTGAGAAATCAGTGGCTAATGTAGAAACTAAAGGCTTTTGTTGGGGGTGGGGCTGGGGGTACGTGGACAGCCTTTTTCTTTGGATTCAGGTATATACAGTGAGGAGGAGGCAAAAAAAAAGTTAATTTAAAAGATTTGTTTAAGGCTCAGGGTTGAAGCTTGGCTCAGAAATGGGTTAAATTAGACTGTGGTGAAAAACCACTGTCCACCACTAGTGGTTTTCTGGGCTCCTTGCTTTGGCTGTAATGGTCCCTCTTTCTTGCAGCCCCATAGGGAAACAAGCTGGCCTGGGTTCTTGCTGGAAGTCGGGTGTCATGAAGTTTGGGGTTTGGCCCTTTTCACAACGACCCAAGAGTTAGCTGTACTGGCATGAATAAGCTGGATCTGGAGCTGTGAAAAGTGCTCTCGAAGTCAGGAGGAATGCACACCAGGTTTTAGGCTATGACTTTTTTTCCTTTACAGCCATTAGCAATAGGCCTGGGACCTTAGTATTGGTACTTAAGTGGGTGAGTTTCTCAGGAAATAATTTCAAATAATTTGAACTACAGCTCCTGGTGCCCCACCACACACACTTGCCTGATAAGTTAGTGTCAGGTTATTCTTGTTGCCTAGGGTGATAGACCTAAACTTGACCTACTCCATTCCCTCCTCTTGCAAGCTCCTGAGAACGTGGCAAGACTTATTCTCTGGTCCAGTTTACAAATAGCAGCTGATTTTCTGTAAACTGGGTTTCTCCAGGACATTGAGAGAAGCATTATTGTCTTTAAGCTTTGTGGTTGTAACTGCGCTCACATGGTTATTTGATAAACCAGCTCATTCTTGGCCTATGAAGTGTCTGGTGTAGGGAGGGCATAGCACTGTGGGGGTGAGGAGAGCAGGGTAGGGAAAGCAGCAGGGCCCACTCCAGCCCACTTGTAACTATAGCAGAAAGACAAGGGAGTCGGGGGCATGTGGCTGGCTAGATGGATGGTTAAAAAGAACAAACGCAGGCTGCCATGGGCATGAGGGATGCCCTTGATCAGATGATTTACAACACAGATCTGATCCCCACCACAGTCTGAATTGATGGCCTTGGGTTCAGGCAGAAGTTGTGCAGGCTTTGAAATCTCTGGAGCCTGGACCTTGAGAGGGAATTAGCAGGGCCACTGGCCGGTTGCCACGTGCTTTGGGACTCTGTCGCCTCCTCTCAGAGGGTGGCCCCCCGGAGGAGACCACATGTCCTGTGCACGCTAGGCCTCCTGTCTCTGAGATTCCTGTTGCTGTACCTGTATACTCTGCAGGGCGCTGCTGGGGGCCTATGGGGGCCCAGGGGGCTGGGAGGCTGAGAGTGGCCGAGAGACTCGGTGATGTAGGCGCTGGCTCCGCAGGGCTAGCAAGCAGTTCTGTGGGGAAGCGGGGCAGCAGGAGGTATGAGGGTGAGTCCCGGGGGGCTGGGGACCCTGGGCAGCCTAGAGCACTGTCATCGGAAGGAACGGGGCTGGGGCAGCGGCCTTCTCCGGGTAAGTACCGAATGCATTTCTTTTTCCTCCTAGGAATAGTGAAGAGAGTTATCTGTAAACAGAGGGTGAATTCATAGTCATACACCACAACCAAAAAATGCTGTTCTTGCACCGGCCTAGTTGTCCCCTCTCCCATCACTTGGGCGATGTGCCTGTGTCTTCAGATCTGAACCAGCACTACAACTCTGTTGGGCCTGGCTTAGACCTGGGACAGGTGCAGTTCCCGCGACAACCACAAGGTGGCACAGGAGCTTCATGTCATTAGGTCCTTGGGGCTGTTTTCCAGGGGCACCATCTCCCCGCCTGTACCACTGAGCCTCTGCTTCACGTGTACTTGTGTGGGCTCACACCTGCCTTCAGGCAAGCGGCTGCAATGCTTGTAGCTTCTTGGGCTGAGCAATCCCAGTGCTTACCCACTCTTGACAGACACCTCATAGTTCAGTTTGTCTCGGAGTAGCAGGGAATGGATGGACTAAGAACTCCTTTGAGGACAAGGTTGCCACCCATCATGGACAGGCACACACATTGCCCCCTCCCCATCCCCCTTTATCCTCTGACAGGGAGCATAGTGGGCATTCTGAGGGGCCAAGTATTCCCGAGAGTCAGTGAACTGCTGCCTGAAAGTAGCCTCAGTTTCACCAGGATTTGGCCTAAACCTAAACTAAGCAACTTTAGCCACTTGGTACTTACACCTTCTTCACCCAAACACAAATATTTGTTGTATAGAGAAACACAGGTTTAGTGCCACAGGTTCTATATGGCTCTCTGGCTAGGACAGCTCGGGGTATCCCTGCTCTGCCCTACTTACCCACCAGCCCTCTGGTCTCAGTACAAACAAGATATGATGAGTCACAGGGTGACTCTGCAATCAGGTTATTTAGGTTTTCTAGTTACCTTGAATGGTAGAGGCAGGGATCCCCACTTGAAGTGAGGGAGCTGGCAGGCTATGATTACATTGAGGCCTGGGAACGGACCAGGCTACTTGAATGGTGTATGTGTGATTTGTTGGTGTTAGCACCAGACTGCCATTACTGGGAGACCTAAGGCACCAGGAGCCAGAGGTAACTGGAGTCTGCCTTTCCTGCCCTTCTAAAACATTCTCTCCCTCCTCCTGTATTATTGTTCTACTTAGACCTAAGTGATTTTCCCCAGAAGCTGTATTCTGTGTTCGCTCCCATTCTTAGAAGGAAGGGACTCCCCAGTCTATGGGTTTGATTGGAAGCTGGGCGGGGAGGGCAAAAGAGGGCTACAGGTCTAGCAGAATGTGTGCAGAGTCAGGGAAGCAGCTTGAAGCAAAGGGAGGATGGTGGTGGGGACAAACCCACCTGCACGGACCACACCAATCCGTCTGCTGGTTGAGGCCAAAGCGAGCACGGCATTTCTTAGGCGAGCCAGGGTCTGCTCACAGCCATGCCAGAGGGGCAGAGCAGGGCAGAGGGCGAGAGCAGGCAGGCGGCAGGGCAGAGCGGGGCCCAGAAAGAAGAGGTAACATCATTGTTAGCCAGTCATAGACACCCCATAGCCCCCACAGGCAGTGTAGGCCTCTCCATGGCACAGCCAGCCCCAGTGGGAGCCCTATAGCCCAAAGCCAAGATATCAGGAAAGGTGGGGACCCACCTGGGCATTAGAAGCAGTGAAAAGAAATGGTGGGTTGAGAAGGAAGAGACCCTGTCAGGCTGGCTCCTCTCTGTGGCTTGTGGGGGCAAAAGCCCAGCAAGGCCTATGAGATCCGGTCTCTCTGTCTTAGGACTTTATAGCCCTTCTCCGACTACCTGCCCATTTTACCAGGTTTTCATTATTGTCAGTGCCCCAGTCTGCCTGACCCCCTATCCTGTAGCTCAGGCTGGAGCTTAAGTCTCTTAAGCACTTTTACATATGGAAAGAAAGACCCATTCTTCAACCTCAGAGAAAGGGCTAAGGACTGCCCAGCCCCAGTTCTAGCCTCTCGCTTCCCTGTATGGGGGCAGCACAGTTGAGAAAGTCATTCATAATACGGTGTTTGTATGAACAGACTTGGGGGAGGGATTCACACACAGGAAGCAGGCTGGGGCTCCTAGGGCCCTCTAAACTTTACTAAAATGAAAACTGGGCAATTGCAGGGATGGTAGAGAAATTGTCCAGACGGGCCTCTACTGATGACCTACTCTTCCCTCAGAAGTAGCCGGATGCAGTGATTGGGTTGAGCACGGGATCAGAGTCAGTTCCCTACAGGCATGTCCGGCAAAGAGCAAAGGTGGTGAGGGGGTGGCAGGCATGACAGCTCTGCGACATGAATTGGCTTCCGCTGGTTTTCCTGGGACATAGAGCTTGGTGTAGAGCTTGACATACAGGTCTTGCCCCCAGACGGCTAAGGGCAGGTCCTGAAGGTCTCTGACTGATACCTGCCCCACCCTCTGGACCCAAGTAGGGCTGCTGGTGGAACGGGGCCCCCACTGCTGCTGAGGGAATGCCTCACCTGTGTTGGATTCTTGGTGCTTTTCTCTTGACCGCCTCTTCTTCTTCCCCTGCAGGGAATAAAGTTGCTGCTGTAAGCCCAGTGAGTGACTGGGACAGAACCTGCTGCCTAGCCTGGCTGCTGCTGGGATTCTGGGCCTGAAGTCCATTTCTACCTGGGGGCCCTCAGTGTTTCTTGATTGCAACTCTTGCTAGATGACCATGGGGCAGGGAGGGGCTCCTCCTTCCTCCCCTTCTGCCCATGTGGCCCAATCAAGTACAGGGCAGTAGTCGTGTGGGGGAATGTACCCTCGGTGGGCCTGTTTTTAGGGGCAGCTCCCCTCGTCCTCTAACGAGCTAGCCAGGGGACGCCTTGCACCCTCCACCTGTCCTCACTGTGCCTTCCCCGCCGAGACTGGCCTGTCTGGGCATGGCTTCTTTGAAGGTTACCCTACCTACCCCTGCTGTGTGTCACTACTCACATAGTTGTCCCGCGCCGACCAGCCTGGATATAGCTGCATGTGTAACTGCCTCTCCTTTCGTGCCAGCTCATAGTACTTGGCCTGTTCTTCCCGTGACAGCGCGTGCCACTGCAGGGGGGGAGAGCGACACAGGTGAGTGGTATTAGTCAGCAGCCTACATCAAGATGAAAGGTGGTCAGAGGCCACCCCTGATGCCCACCAGCCCATCGTCATACCCTGCGGCCCAGGATCTGGTTGATGGCAGCACTCTCCTTGAGCGTGCACTCTGCAATGACCTTGGCTCTCATCTCCTTCATGTACAGCATGAAAGCATTGAGTGGCTTCTTGATAGTTGGCTTCTTGGCTTCCTTTTCTGCCTTGGACTCTCCCTGTGTCTTCCTGAGGGCACAGGTCCAGATCACTTGGGAACTCCCCGTGCCACCGCCACCCTCCACCCCCACTCCAGTGTCTACTTAATGCTACCACCCTCTAGTGTGCAAGAAGCAGTGGTCAGTGAGAGAGTTATACAAGATGGCTTGACCAGAGGCGACCTCTGGCAGTTCTGGAGCTTCAAGGCAACAAGCCTTGGGCCTGGCAGGAAGAATATGAATCCTGGCTGATAACAGATGGGAACTTCTACCCCATTCCCCAGTTGCCTTTTCACTTACAGGCTGCGGTCATAGGGCTGCAGCTCTTGCTTCCCTGAGGGGGGCACGATGGCCGGGTGGGGAATGGCTGCCGGGTGACCGGGTACGCCGGAGCCTAGCATCAGGGATGGGTGGGTGAACCTAGAGGCAGGAGAAGAGTTAACACTGAGGCAGGTATGTACCGGTCAGACCTCTGGACACATGGAGGCCCCTACATGGCACACGAGGACAGCTAGGAACAGAAACCTCACTGCCACTGTCCTGCACACAAGTACACACAGATACAAATACCTGCTCCCCACGCATTACACAGACACATTGCAAAAATGTACATGCCGCCCAGGTAGTTGGTAATACCCTAAATGGCTACTGAACCTGACTCCTCGTCTCCTACCTGTATCAGTTCAGCATCAATGGCCTCTGGCTGCTCTGAGGCTTTCTCACTCTGCCCCTCTAGGCCTTTCCATCCTACACAGTGGCCTTTTTTAAAAACACCTGATGGTTCCTGGCCACTCCTACAATTCCTCCACTGCCTGTAGACTAAAGACTGGGTGCTTACTGGCTACTTGCAGATCAGGAGTGCAGCTGCCATGACATCCCTGCTGCCGCCCCTTTACCCCTGTTGGCTGTCACTTTCCACTGACAGACCTGGCTGGGGTCTCCTTGGTTCTTCCCCACCCCCAGAGAGCTGACTGAACTCTGCTGCGTGTGTTTTCCTCCCTGGACTGTGCTCCAGTAGGGCTGGAAATGGCTGCTGAACGGCCTGTTCCATACTGTCACTGAGGGTGTGAGTTAAGTGAAGGGCTGTAACTCCTACCTTATGTGCAGTTCTATGATTTGTACATTGCCTCTTGCTGCTGGCATAGATGTAGGGGTCCCTGAGCAAGCAGCCAGAGGTTGGAAGGCAAGAGGTTGGAGAAAAAATGTAAGTAGCCTCGGACATAGCCCAGGAGCATCCTCCTGACCCGCCCTTCCCTCAGCAGGGATGCAGAGGTGAGTGCACATACCAGCTGACTCACCCATGCAGAGGCAGGGCACAGGCACGTGTGTGTATGCACTGTTCCTGGCTGCTCTGTGCTGCTCTGCTGCACACAGTGGCCTGGGCGCAGTTCTTGTTCTCAGGCACAGGGCAGCAAGGGGCTGCAGATTGACAGACGGACGGCTGGACAGACGACTAACACAGGGCAAGCACTGGCCTGGGCATGGCTTCGTGTGGGCACTGAAGCCTGGGCAACAGGAAGCGGGAGCCTGGCTGCAGGGCTGCAGGGTAAGGGACTCACCTGGGGTAAGGGGTGCCAGGGGCTGCTGTGGGGGCAGGGAAGTGCTGTCTATATCCGCAGGAAGGGGACAGGGGGTAGAGAGGAGGGCTGGGCCTGTGGTTGGGAGAGACAGCTGTTAGCAGTCTGGCTACTGGCCAGATGTGGGCAAGGACTTCCCCACCTTGCTCTGGTTTGACCCATACTGTGATGCTACAGGTCTCGGCTTCGAGGACTCCAGTGTACGTTTCAAGCATCTGCCACCAGAGGGCAACCTGTGCTTCACCTTTTTCCTCTAGTCTTGAATTGGTGTTTAAGGGGTGCTGGTGGCAGCTTTCTCCTGGGAACTAGTTCAGTTTCCTATCAAGGAGCTGAGAAGCAGCAGCCTCTCTTGTAGCAATTCCTGCTGTCACCTGCCTACTCAGGCCTGCCTCTTCTTCCTCACATACTCACAGGTCCTGAGCAGCCAAGAGTCCCCCGCTAAATTTATCTTAGACTCTGAGTTTAAATACAACAGGGCTGGGACCAGGAACCGGTCTCCCACCTCCCCAAAGGGAGTATGTCAGGTTACCTGGGGAATGGATAGTACTGCTAGCCAGCACCTCAAACCTCGGAGCTGGCAGCAAGGTGCTCGGCACAGAAGGATAGATAGGATAGTAGGGGTCTGACCAGCACACATCACCCTTTTCCCATAGGACCCACACTCACCAGCTCACAGTGTGGGGAAGCTGTCCCATGCTGCTTGAGGTCAGAGAGTAGAAGCCAGAGAGGTCAGGGGTCTGCAGGGGCCTGTGAACTCCTGCAGTGGGGAGGGCCAAGTCAGTGAGCTAGCCTGACCTGGAGCCCTTCAGCTAGTTATTTTAGTTTAAAGCCACTTTTGTGGGGGGAAGGGGAGAACCTCTAAATGCCATTCCCCTACTGCCACCCCCATTTCCTAGAGGACCAGATATATTGGTTTGTTCAGGACTATCCCCCCTATGTAACAGTACCCCCTTTTACAGGCCAGGAACTTAGGCAGAAGGATTGCGTGACTTGCACACTGACTGGCTGGTGGCAGAGTTGGGAGTCACTCAGGAGTGGGATGCTAGGCCTTGCCACACCCTTCTCTGCTGGTTTGCAATTGGGGCTCCCTACTGGGGGCTTTGACCTGGCTTTCTGGGCAAGAGGCGGGCCCCTGATCTAGGGGAACCTGGTGTGGGGAGACTGGGCTCCATTCGCCCCCCTCTGCTCCCCCAGGGTTGAGTCAGCAGGTTTCCCACAGCCAACAATGGCTGTTTTCAGAATGACTTTGCCTGGGGCTGAGGTGAATCAGCCATCACAACCACCACTTTCCATTTTCTCACTGGGGGAGGGAAAGGCTAGGAGCTTTATAGTTATCAGCTTTGCTCTATGCCTACTGTCCTACTGGCACTGTGGCAGCATTCAGGATTACGCTCCTACTGCAATATAAAGCCTTCAAATTTTGACCTGGCATCACCTCCCCCAACCCTCTGGTATTATCAGGTCCCCAATTCATCTTTCTGGCATTTTCTTTGGGCCCAGGGTTTGTACAACCTCAGATTCCCAGTTTTCAGACGGACAGCCATGAGGTATGAGAAGCTGGGTACTTGGCCACCGAACTCCAGGTCTCTTACCACCCCATCCTGGTCCCTACCTTGCTTTTGACTGATGTCAGCTGGTGCAGCTGTGGGGTGTGGGCTGCTGAAATGTTCATAGAGAGGAGAGAGTTGTGGGACGCCGTGAGCGGGTTGACTGGCCTTGTTGTGCTGAAAAATGAGAAGGAGTAGGGGTGAATATGGGGAGATCCAAGGGAGGAGGCATAGGAATAGGGGAATAGTATAGGCTGAGCCCCAATTAGTTGTGTACAGGTAACATATAGAACAAAAGTTGAGGTGAATCAAAACTACAGGCTTTGGGAGGAGGAACTATTCTAGCCCTCGGTGTCTAGTAGCCCTGCCCGACTGCCCACCAAGCTATCCCCATGCCACCCCAACTTTACCCAAGTAGTCCCACCTTCTAGACCCTCTTTCTGCACACAATCCCAGGAGGTACATCTTCCCTGTCCAGGAAATTCTTCCTGGCCTTCTGGTCTCAGATCCCCCAGTTTCTGGGGGGCTACTCACAGCCTTTAGCCACAATAGCAGGGCATCATGGCCTGAGGACACCCAGGACCATCTGGCGCTTTCCTGCCTCTTCCAACCCCCAGACTAGGGGTCCTGAGTCAGATCCTCTGTCCTTTCTCAGCCTTAACAGAATTTGTTAACACAGGAAAGGGCCCCCTACCCCTAGCCCTCTAACTTGGGAGGTGGGACAGGGTAGGGCCAACCTGTCTGGCCTCTGTACTTCCTGTTTCCTCAACTCCACAGGACTCTTACTTTTCACACAGATCACATGGATCTGTCATGAGGTGACTCCGGCAGGCAGGGAAGGGGGCTCTCCATTGCAACCCAGCCACCGGGAGTTGCTGCTCAAGCCCAGGACCCAGCTCTGCATGTGCCCGGTGTCCTGGGCAGGATGGGCCCTGGAGAATCATCTACAACTTTGGCTCAGGTTCTCACTCAGAAAAGTCCATTTGCAGGAATGCTGCTGGCTTGGAACGCAGAGACTAACTGCTGACCCGTGTGTGTGCAGAAAAATGACATGGTAATGAGAGGGTTAGGTCCAGCTCCTGCCTTATGGGTAAAATTTCCTAATGGTGAATTAGCCTCCTTCACATCTCGGGGCTTCAGTTTTCTCTTGTATAATGAATGGGGTTCTGGTCCCTCATCACTGGTTTAGGGTAACTTATGGGAAGGAGGCCTGAAATGGACCCTTGGCGCTGGCTGATGAAGGGAAGGCTAGGTATGAGCCACACTGTAGCTAAGGCTTGAGGACAGGTGCCCATACCTTCCAGCAACAGCCCTGGCCACCATCTTCCCCCACATTTCTGCTGTCGGGAGCTTGAGGCTGGATAACAGCTGCTCCCATCCTCTGAACTGGGAGGGCGCTAACACTCCTGTCAGTCTCCTGCTCTTCGTCGCCAGCAAGAGAAGCCATGCACAGAGCTAAGCAGGCTTCCTTCTGTTATCAGGTGGTTAGCCTGATGTCCCCATGGTGGTGGGTCCTTCCAGGTTGGCATGAATTTGGGACTATAGCCCCATCCTGAGCCTGATGTCCCACCTGATTTGACCCCCTTCTGGGGCAGGACAGAAAATCTTCTATCAGCCCCGGGGAGGGCTCCTACTGTGAGCTGGAGGAAGACTTGGGCCCACCATGTTCAGCTCCTCTTCAAGACCTTACAATATCTGAGCGCTAGTTTTCTTTCTCAGCTACTTGAAGGTGATTGAGTCAGACAACACCAAACAGCTCAACCATTCAGATGTCAGGTAATGAGGAAGAGGCATGTAGAAAGCCCCTCATCCACCCTGAAGAACCTTCACAGGCAAGGAGAAAATGCTACAGTCCTTCCTCTGGTGCTGGACCTCACACAGGGTCCTGATGATGCCATTGAGGGTTTGCCTGGATGGGCGGGCATGTATGGCACCCAAACTGGCAGCATCACCTGGGGCGGGAAGGGGGGTGATGATGGAGCCATGTCCCCACATTTTGGGTGTCATGACTCCATGTTGCTGCCTCAAAACCAGGCTACCTGGGCAAGCTGGGGGAGTCTCGGCTGCTTTCAGGCTTTCTTTTAACCCCAGCACTGATCCCAGACACAATCACCATAGTTGGGATTGTGGGAGAGCACTAGGAGGGCTGGCAAGAGAGGTATGAGCCAGCTGTGGCACACGTGGGCGCACACGAAATCTTCTGTACAGAGTACCTGTCATGAGCCCGGCACTTGCCAAGCACCTTGCAAAATCCACCTCATGCCTGTTAAGGTATCAACAAATGGCCATATCGCCCATCAGTCAGTTGTCCCCCAGCTCCCACACCATGTCTCACACTCTCCTTCAAGTAAACCTCAGTAGAGGCACCCCCCCCCCCCAACTCACTGCCTGTGGTTCTCAGCCACCATTCTCCAGTCTCGCCAGTCTCTTGCCCAGATGACGTCAGGGTCCCTAATGATTTCCATATGCCTGAACCCAGTGGTCCATTCTCAGTCGCCTTCTTACCTGACCTCTTGCCCACATGAGACACAACTGATTTCTCCCTCCTCCGCGAAATGTTTCTTCACTTGGCTTCCAGAATGCCACAATTGTCTGATTTTCCTCTGGCCACTTCTTAGGCTCATTTCTGGCTCCTCTTCCTAACCTGACCTGAGGTTGCCTCTCAACTCTCTATCTACTCTCACTCCTCTAGGCTTACAGCTTAAACGTATTCATCTGATGGTCCACATATTTATCTCCAGCCCACACGTCAGAACTTCACTCTCCAAATGTCCACGCAATGACTCAACTTGGAGACCTCGGATGCTGCCCACGCTTAATGTGTCCAAATCAGCCTTTGACTTCCTACCCCAAATGCTGGCTTCCATCGTTGATGGCGACTCCTCTTCCAGTAAATATCTTGGATTATTCCTTGACTCCTTTTTTCTCTCATCCAGTTTGTCAGCCAGTTTAATGGCTGTACTTTTAAAATATATCTAGAATCCACCACTTTTTCTTTTCTCCCCGTGTCCCACCCCTAAACACCTTTTGTCTGTGTCTAAAACGCCCAAACACCTCCACATCTCACCTGCATGACTGCAGCCAGCCACTATCCTGCCACCACACAGAGCGGTTCACATCGCTCCTCTACCTAGTCTCCAACCCAAGTCTACCAACAGCTCTGCGAGATCAGGCCCCCACACCCTCACCAGCATATGACCCTGCTATCACCTGGCTCACCGTGTCCAGACTTCAGCCTTCACCATCCTGCTCCACTTACTGTAGTGATACTTTCTTCTAAAAGTGCCCTTGCTGGCCTTTCACTGTAGGATCCTGGCCAGTATGTCTCTTGTAAAATAAGGATGAGACTATCAGCCCTCACTATGCCATTGGTCACATATGCACAAATCCTGCTTTATCCTAGAATTTTGGGGTTCAGGAGCAAAGGACCTATGAAGGCTGGAAACTTCTTGGGCCTCTTTTTCCTGATAGGTAGGGAGAAGATGACCTCAAAGCAGGTTTTCCAGTAAACCACCGTCCCCTGGCCATGTAGGATAAGTCCCAGGTTGCAGCACAGCTCAGACTAGGCCTAGGAAACCTCAGAGTCCAATCCAGCCTCCAGCCACTGGCTTGTATGTATGTGTGTGATGGGGGGTGGGGGTGGGGCTTGAAGAGAATGTGTGTGTCGGGGGAGGGGTGTTGCATGGTGGGCAGAGGACTCTTCCTGTCTATCAGCCTTCTCTGAGAACTGGGGAAGAGCCTCATTAAACAGGAATCTGCAGCCAAACCACAGGAGCGATGCTGGCTGGGGCAGAGAGCCTGCCAGCAGCTGGAGGCCCTGGGCTGGCCAGGGCAGGGCACTGAGGGCCTGGCCAGTCCTTCCCACATTCATTCAAGCTGTCTCTCAGCCTCACTCCCCAGCCTTCTCCATGCCAGAGGGAACTGTCTGGCACAGGGTCTGGTGGCCCATGCTCCCCTCAGCCAGTGGAACGTCCCGCTCCATGGCCTCAGCACAAGGCTGTCCCAGGGCCAGGCTGCCCAGACAACAGGGTGGGGTTGCCTGGGGCCTGGCGCGCATATGGGGAGCCCAGTGACTGCAGCTCCCCTCCTCTCCTCCCCCTGATGGGGACTGTGGCCAGCCTCCAAGGGAAGGAAGCGGGTCTGGGTTGATTGTTCCCACCAGGCTCTGAGCAACTCCACAGAACCACCTCATATCTCACCTCTGAGGGAAGAGCGTCGAGCACAGAGCTGAGTAAGTGTTCCCGGCATGGTGGACTTTTACATACGAATGATAAACTCAACAGTAGTCAAACTCCCTGGTCATGACAGTCCAGGTCCCCTGGCCTTTGCCCATGCCTGCAGCGCAACCCCCAGCCCCACCAGAGGTTGCAGCACTCCAGCACGGGTCCAGGACTCTGAGACCCCTGGACTGGAAGTAAGGTCCACTGCAGTCCAGCACTGCTCCTCCTGTTCTTGCCTGTGCCAACACAAAACCTGTTGTCCCCAAGGAGGTCCTCATCCTTCTGGGTTAGTTTCCACAACCCATGGCTAGAAATCTCTCCCTCTGGTGCCGCAGCATGCCCTCCTCTTGTTGAGCAGGCTGGAGCCAGGAAGAGGCCCAAGGGCAGGGTTGGGCAGAATATATAAGGGGGGGGGACCCCTGAGGTAGGTCTTCTCTGCTCTGAAGTCAAGCTTGGGCCTGGCTGGGCTGCCCCTACCTTCCCCCTTCACCCCCCGCCCCTCACTTCCTGCAGGCTCAGGTGAAAAATAAACACAGTCGGCATTTTCCCTGCAGACCGCAGCGGTCTGCTTACAGGCGGTGTGCACACTGAGAGCCCTTGCCACCACCAGCAGAGAAACTCCCTCGCCTCTGACGGTTGACTCCGAAAACCCCCAAACGCTTGAACCCCACAACACTTTCCCAGCGAAGAAAGTTTCTGCTTCCTCTGGCCTCAAGCCTGGGGGTGGGAGGAGCATGTGAGGCCTGAGCAGGCTCTCCCAAGGCCTCCCTGTGGCAGGGGACTGTGCCACCCACCACACGCACACCAGGATTCTCCGGTGACTGCTGTGGGCAGACATGTTCAGTCAGGATGTGTTCACGGAGCTCACATATGTGCCAGGAGAAAGAATGTTTCAGGCCAAGAGAATAGCATCTGGTACTGATAGTTGAGTGGCACAGTTCTGAGCGCCTTCAAGAC